GCATAAACAAGGGTCACGGACACCATTTTCAAGTTCAGTGTGTCTAAACCACTTGTAATTCGGTGTTTGGGAGTGTTTATAATGTCTTTCATCCAAAAGAGGCGTATTTCAATTTTCTCCCATTGACTTATAATGGGGAGGTCGCAAAATTGACCTGACCTTAGGTCATCGATATCAAAATTCTGAGATAAACATTTTGTACATGCTATTGCTCTTAGCAATCGCTGAAAGTTTCAAAGCGATCGGTCACTCGGTGTAGCTATGACAGACATTGAAAGTTTTGATGAGGTGAGGTCACTTCAAGTGACCTGGTGACCTGACCTTGAATGACCTTGGTCTGAAATTTTCACAACATGTGTAGAATTGATGTATGATAAGGTGTACCAAAAACGGCGGCGCTCCGCGCCGCCGTTTTTGAGATATTCGCGAAAAACCACAGGGGGGGGTGTTCAAACACCTCCCCCAGCAGGGCGCGGGTTAATCTGATGGCCATGGGTTGTAAATCGAAAATGCTCATTAATATCGAAATCTGTTATGTTTTAGACCTTTTGACAGCAATGTGCCATTGTAAGCAATTGATAGAAAGCATACCTAAAGTCACAAAGCACATCTCAAAATAAAATAAGTATTAACGGGCCTTGAGAGCCTATTAAAGTGACCATCCCACCTTAACCCGGCAGGCGGTGGCCTCCCGGCCACCTTCCGCGCGGTGGGGGGATTTTTTTGTCCCCCCTCGTATCTCCGAACAACTGGACGGATCCGGAAAATTCAAACGGCGTTCGATAGCCCTGTCAAATTTGTGGAAGGAAACCAAATTTCGTTGAACTCGGAGTCACCGATGACGTCACAGGTCAGGTCAAAGATAAAATGTTTCACCGTTCACGGGTCTTTTAGGGAAAGCCTTATAACACCGAGTAAAACTCACTTTGTGAAAAGCGATAATGTGAACACATATATTGCAATATATGTGTTCATATTATCGCTTTTCACAAACGTCAAACTGTCATACCACAAAACCCCTTTTTGTCGAAAATCAGCGATAGAGCGTCAGTTGTCTAGTACATATGTTGCTATTAGAGGTCACTGGTCTTACCAGGTCAGGGCACAAGTCAGGTCACCAAGGGTCACCACGTGAACCCAACTTTACTTAGGTTGTGCGATGCATGTTTTCTGGCCAATTTTTCATTTCCAACTCAATGGTGTTGGTTATAAGGCCATCAGGTACGGTTTAGGTCACTTTCTGGTGGAGGTCAGGTCAAGGTCAGGTCAAAAAAGGTCAAATTTTAAAGGTGTTAGCTTTGCATAAAATGGGTATTGATTCGATGCAGCTCGTCACGGGGAGTCTAATGGTGGTCTTTGTTTTGCGCTACGAGGTCTATAATTGCTAAAAATTGTGTTTGAAAATTTGACATCAATTTTGAACAGTTTTTCGCTATAACTTGGCCAAAAAAGGAATCGATCTCAAATTTGGTATGTAGGTATGTAGATAAAAGACAGTAGGGACTATCACATATATTCCGTTTTTTTTTCGAAATTCAAAACACTTTTTGGATTTTTCGGCAATTATATACAAAAAATCATTTTTTTATTTTTTTCTGGGTTAAAATCCAAAATTTCAAAAAATCGAGATATCAGTTTTGTAGTTCTATTGATTCTACACCTTTTATGTCTGAAACATTTTTCTGTATCTCTAAAGCTGTAGGCCTGACAGCTCTTCCCGCGAAACCTTTTCTTGGGTCGAAAATGGCAGAAATGAGTATGACGTCACTCTGACGTCATTTGCGGCCAAGCTATCATAGGGCAAAAAATCCCCCCCCCCCACCGCCTGAAAGGTTAATATAAATTTTGAGTTGATATAGCCAAATTGGTGGCCATGGCCTGCAAATACCGGTTTGGGCACTCACAACATCGAAAAAATACTTTAATTCGGAGATATGGAATTTCAAACTTGCAGTTTTTGATTCTCAGGGGCTAATGCATAGGAATGCCCCCTTAGAATTTGTGACGTCAGCGAAGATCTAACGATTTTTAAATCTTAGACTAAAAGCATCGTTAACACGTGGTGGAACACGCTGCTTTGCACGCAACGTCTGCCGCACTTCAAAGCTGCCAAACCATTGCTTCCAAATAAAGTCGCTAGAAACAAGGGAGATCCCAAAAAGTAAACAAAAGTAAAAGTCTAATATCTTGAAAACCGGTTAATATTTTTCGGTGAAATTTGGTAGATATTCGTTTCGCTCTTTCTGAACCGAGTGACATCACTTTCATGCCAATTCACTAACTTTTTTGAAGGTGGGAGGGTCCTCATAGTAACCAGTACAAAATAATTCACACACCAATTATTCACACCTATTCACTCATCATAGTAACCAGTACAACGCCTTTTGGGGCGACTAACGGAGCGAGCGAGAGGGCGGGCCTTGCACGTGCGAAATTGCGAGGGGGTACCTCCAACTGACCTGTGCGCGGCACCCTACTAACCGGTCTCTAGCGATGAACCAAATTTGAGCACAATCGGCCAAGCCGTTCTCGAGATCTGGAAACGATCCCTGCGCGTGCGCACGAGCAGCAGCACCCCAACTCTGGCACATGGATATGCAGTGCCTAGTGGGTGCCTACCTACATACCAACTTTCAGCGCAATCGGCCAAGTAGTTACCGAGATATTGCAACAATTACAAAACTGACCTCTTCGTTTTGTACGTGGCACGTGCATAAGGGGTCACCCACATGCATCGGGAACAGTCCAATACTTGGTAGAAGGAAAAAAGCTACCCTATAAAAATTACCGCGTGTAAATCGGTCAAGGGGTTGCTAAGATATAAGCCTCGCAAAAGCGTCCGCACGGCCGGCCGGCCGGCCGCTCATACTCCGAAATTTCCGTTAATCTAAGGAAAGTCTCCGCTCGCTTCGCTCGCTCCGTAATAAACGCATTTTTTGAGGAGAAAATGGCATCCGGGAGGTCGTAGGCCCATCTTCAAGCAAGACAGTGCATCAGTGCACAGGTCAAGCAAAGCTTAAAGGTAGTGTGCCACCTTTAAAAGATTTCCCATTTTATTTTTCCTAGGATTAGAAGCTTCTGTTTTTACCTAATATCGCAAAAAAAAAAATCAAAAATGGGCCTGGAATAGTGCTTTTTTCGCCTAAGAGTGTATCGGTTTTTCGATATGTATAACAACTATTGGTGCCAATCGGAATTTCTTTTCTTGGAATTCCAATTTTTGTCCAATTCCAATTTGGAATTTGGACGGAATTCTTAACATTTTTTGGAAATTAATCGGAACACAAGGCCTTTAAAATTTAAAATTTTAAAACGGAGGCCTTCAAAACGCTTTTAAACACTTTTAAAATTTACGCAAAAAATGCAAAAATCGTTAAAAATTGGAATAGCCCCCGCTTTGGACAAAATTGGAAATTTACCTGGCAATTTCTTGGAATTGGATCGGAATTGGAATTGAAATTTCATGAAATTGGCACCACTAATAACAACTGTAGTGGGCTGACCTGCAAACAGGCGTCGGCAACAATCGCGAATGCGGCGCACATGTGACAATAAGCAAAGGTCATTATAGAGTTACGACGTACGGAAATGAGTTATCAGCTGTCTAATCGTAGACAACACAATGTCGAACTTAAACTGTAAGCCTGTTTTGGTATTGTTTCTTTAATTTGGCTGTCGAACATTAATTTATGGTTTGAAATATTATTTTATGTAAAATAATTGATATGAAACAGCCGTCTCTAAAGTTATGACCCCATCTCACCACATGAAAGTGGCAGAAATGACAATGATCAGCTGACGCATTTTTCTTGGCCGAAGTCAGAGCGCGCGGCCCGACGCACCACCACCGCACCACAAAGTATGAGCAGAAGCCGCGCCCAAAGCCAGGGCCCCGGTAACGTGAGGTAGCCGAGTCGGGGCAGCGTGCGCTGACCCAAGCCGGGGCCGCGGCTTTGGGCGCGGTCTACCGCATCCCCGCGGGCAGCCCCGGGCTATCACATGACACCGGGAGGACGCGCGGCCCTGGCTTGGGTCAGCGCACGCTGCCGCGACTCGGCTACCTCACGTTACCGGGGCCCTGGCTTTGGGCGCGGTCTACCGCACCACCTAACAGGCGTGTTCGAAACCGCAGGAGATGATGATGAACGGGTTTATCGAATCTTGATTGGATGAGCCTATCGGTAATAGCGATTTCAGTGTGTGCATTTATTGTTCATAGTGGTGTGAAATGTGGTTGGGGTACGACCGACAACCCGTCGGGGCGAATTTCGCACTGGGGTACTCAAAATTTGAAGAATTTAAGACGTTTCCATGAGTTTTGAAGGTATGGATAAGTTCTAAAAATCCGGTTCTCCTTATCTGGGCCATTAACTCCATACCAATACGGTCCAGGAAAGCTGGCACACTACCTTTAAAAGCAGTGCCAGGAGACTGTGATAGGCGTCTGTGGCAAGATCACATCATAGGGGAGATATAGGGGACATAGGGGAGATAGTACATAGGGGAGACAGGAAGGCCTAAGTCAGTGAGAATGAATGAACACGCCCAAGACATCCAACACGGACGCAGATTGAAATCGGCACCGGCACGACACGCAAGTGAGTGTTCTGGTCAGATGCGCCCTTTGGAGGCAAGAACAGTAGCCTATGTCAGTGATTGGAGGAAGAGGACAGTGCGCGAGGCCATCGAAATAAAAGAGAAGGATCCAGATATGAACAGAGATGTTGGAAAATTCGCACTGAGCCCAATTTGGGATTTGCCTCTAAAAAACGCAAGATGATATTCGTTCCTCTCATCACTGTAGTATGAGTGGACTGAATTAAAAACTAATGACGCCGAATGTGTTCTGTGTATAACTTCTTGTTTGTGTGTTTGTATGTATTTTATAGTTAAATTTCAGCATACCTACTTTGATAGGAAATAGTGAGTGTATCTAGATATTCTAAACTTGGAATCTCCTACATGGTTGATAGCGCGCGGGGATTTTAATTTTTTGTCTGTGAATTTAATTTAGAATTTTGGGTATCGCTGCAATGTGAGCTATACTTATAGGGTTATTGTAGTTGTCCAGTGACCAAGGCCAAACAATATTGGCCGAAAAATTTGGACTTGCATACGCAATACAATCCCAGTGAATTCCGATAAAGTTTTATATCTACATCCTTCCGGTTTCAACTTGGTTCCGTTTCAATTTTTCAAATGTGAATGCCTCGACTAGTCCAGAACGCGATGATGTCGTTAGACGAAAGCTCGTTCTATATTTTCGGCCTCATTTTGTTGAATAAAAATACACCTCACTGCCATGTGATTGGTCAATTTCATCAACATATTTAATTATTTGATCATGGCAAAGCCGACCATTCAATACATCAAGAGTTATTGCTTTAGTAGTGAGTGCGTTATATATGTGTGTGTTGGTGGTACGGTCTAAGTAGGAAGCGAGCAAAATTTTCCACTCCGCTGGCACTTGTGTGTCGCGCTGAGCCTGGCTCTCAGCCACATGTGTATGAACATTTGAACTACCAACGTTATCTGGATTGTCACTTGTTGGAAACGGGATTTGATCGATGGAAAGATTGGTGGTGGTGACATGGGCGGAGCTACGTCCCACGGGACTCGGTCCTGTGTCGACGTCGGCTGTGGTCCGGGAATCGAGGGGCACAGAGCATCGATCCTTCGTTCGATCAAGAGCATCGCCATGGCCGTCCTGATACGACTGAGTCTCGGCATTGGCGCCGTCCTGCTGGCAATCGCCGGCAGTCAGGCCGGCCCAAGCAAGAGGGTCCTCTCTCAGACTCGGATGGGTAAGCACCATACGTCAGCCGTCACACCAGATACGAGTGGTGGACATAGTAATAGACACCGCAAGCTTGGGTAGTATACTATGATCATCACAACGCTGCTTAGAGAACTAGAAAACTAGACGCTTGACTCCGAGTTCAATAGAAGACATGCCACGTCCTAAAACTGCACAACCGATGACTGTTATTAACATGCTTCCTCTTCCAACAGACGTTACCATCAACAATGCACCGTTCGTTACGGACGAGGTGGTCGACTCGTTTGAGATGCTGCATGTGCGCCAGTGCGAGCCAGAGGGCTTCGACTGGACCAAGGAAGGCCATCAGGAGCTGAAGGAGATTCTGGAAGGCTGCGAGAGCAAGGTCAAGGCCGGCGGACTCGGAGCTGACTGTGACGGTGTCGAGTTCAGCGCCCTGTACTTTTTGTGCATTGCCAACAGGTGAGCAAATTACACCTACTTTTGCCTTTTCGCTTGAATTTAGAGGTCTCCTGCATGCGGGATAGCTGACTATTCCTTGCTTGAAAATTCCGTCCTGGTACATCGAACTGAGTCGTCACCATGGAGAAATAGTGAAGACAATGAGCGATCTTAGCATCTAAAGGTGGCTGTCATTATAAAATTCAGCAGGATAATTATCTATCGAAATATTAGTACTCTGAGAATATAGCGAATTATAACATACATTCTCATTTCAACTGGGATCGGTTCATCTAAATGCCATGGTTGACGTTACAGCGTGGGCGAGCTTGATGCTGCCGGAACGTCGTTCGACCTCGACGCCTTCCAGGACAAGACCGATGGCTACTCGGACGACCCCAAGTGGTCCATCACCGAGGAGGACATGTTTACCCACTGCATCCGTAGGTCAACCGCCGACCTTACGCCTCGCCAGCAGGCTGTCTACGCGTACGCCTGCATGAAGTGGTGCTTCGCCGTCTCCTGCGACGATACCCTGATTGAAGAGCAGCGGCTGGATAATGAGGGAAGGCAGCGCATTGTCTCTTTCCTCAATGGACACTGCCCGTTGAGCCCCACCGTTATTGTGGACGCCTTCGGTCAGCTCACCAGCCGTACTTGGGCAGAGTGCACCGATTCCGTGGCCTCCATCAGCGACGATTACGACGCGGCCGTCGGCAGGATCAGTTGTCTGCTGCAGGACTTCCAGGCGATGGACGGCACTGTCGACTTTGACAGCCTGAGCAGCGCCATCAACAGCATCCCGGGAGATAGTGACCTGGCGCCCACCCTCAGCTGGAACCTGTTGCTGGACGTCTGCGGACCGAGCGACGCGGCAGCCTCTGTCTCGACCGTGGAGTTCATTGAATGCTGGGCTGGCTATGGCCTCTACTCGTGCGCCTTCATGGAGGCCAACGCACTGGCACGCCTCTTCCCATCGACCTGCACTGTCACCCTCTAACTCTACCAGTGCTCACGTCCTTCTGAAACTCTGATAACACGATTTCACAGGCTCAGTAGACTGCTTCTCTAATTCTCGATCTAATAAACGTTCTAGCAAGTAATCTTACTGTTGTTTGCACTTTGTAGTTCTTTACAGGGTACAAACGGTAGGAAAGCACAGTGCAAGCGGTCTGAAAAATGAGCACCGAAACTTGCTACTTCTATGTTTTTTCCCAAAAGCGAAACAAGTGAAGAGATAGATACAGATGAAGAGAAGAGAAGAGAAGAGAAGAGAAGAGAAGAGAGAGAGAGAGAGAGAGAGAGAGAGAGAGAGAGAGAGAGAGAGAGAGAGAGAGAGAGAGAGAGAGAGAGAGAGAGAGAGAGAGAGAGAGAGAGAGAGAGAGAGAGAGAGAGAGAGAGAGAGAGAGAGAGAGAGAGAGAGAGAGAGAAAAAGTTGAAGCGATAGAAGAAAAGAAGAAAAGAAGAGGATAGAAAAGGGATGAAAGAAGAAGGAGAGCGAATGTGATTGAGTGGGGCTTGGTCTCTTGTTTTGTTGGCCATCCCCAGTGCCTTACAAAGATCTATAACCTCGATACAAAGATCTTGTAATGAATTGATTACAACCTCGATAACCTAAATCAGTCCATGGTAAATAGTCAGTATATTGCCCAATTCAAACAATATTGCCCGTGAGAGGAAGCCTGGGTTGTTATGCATAGGACACGGGCAGAATGCATATACTGCCCGGGCGGGCAGCTTGCATTTTGCAGTTTGTATCTGCATTGGTTGCAAATGCTTTCTTTTCCCCCTACTGTAAATAACTAGGGTAACGAAACGATTTCATCACCTAAATCCTGAATCATTTCCATATGCGCTTTCATCTTGGCGAGTCTCTTCTCTTGACCCAGCCACCATCCGGCACAGCAAACGCCAAGACTGAGCAGAACTCAGCGGTTTTAACCTCTGGTTTTAACCACAAGTGTAAATCAAATATGCGAGCAAGCCTCATTCACTAGAGGCGCAGGGGGAATGGGAACAGGAGTCTCAGCCATTGGCCTCGGCGCCATCCGGCACAGCATATATTCCCGGCACAGCATATATTCAGGCGTTTACCGTAGTGACATCTTGCGGCGGCGATAGAAGTTGGAAGGGCCGGGCTCCTGAATTGACGGCAGTGACTGTTTAAGGTTTCATCAGTTTTTTCCCCCAAAATGTCGGAGTTATTCGGTAAAACGTGTAGAAGAAGGTGGCTGATACCCCAATCCGAAGCCATTCATCTCAAAATTGTCTAATTTTCAAATGGTGGCCCTCTGAAGTTAAAATGTCTGCCATCCAATAGCTCCTAGCGAAGATAATTGGTGCGTGATAAGCCCATAGGCTTAACACTAGCTAGAGAGTTCTAGAGACATTGACGGCATCAAGGTGGTGTTTCACCGATGATATTACATGCTGCTATTACACGTGTCAAATTGGGTTTCTATGGAGACGTCAACAAGCCCATTGCTCCAACACTACCACAGGTGTGACGTCAGTTGGCGAAATGGAATAGCAGCGTGGTGGCAGCGTCCGGTGAAACACCGCCCAAGGCTGGGCGGGGCATGCCAGGCTAAGCAGACAATGGGTCTACAATATAATGGAGGGGAAGGTACAACATCTAGCGACATTTTTCCTCTCTATTTTCAAACGTTGGCAGCAGGTAACCACAGGCCGCCCGGAGCAGTTGACACACGGACGTTAATCGCGACCTGAATCCTCGAATATATTGCTGGTTTAGTGCATTATTGCCTGTTTCAAGGTAATACGGGTAAATAGCGTAGCGTCAATCGTAGAGAGAAAAATCGCGAGTGTACAGTTGCTGGATGTGGAGAAATAACAGCTAACCGACCTGAGCGCCGCTTCTTCGCTGTTCAACGAGACCGTGCCAGGTAAGGGTAAATTTAAAATGATGATAGCTACATGAAAAGGATCTATAGAAAGTGAATGATAACCACTAATTATTTCAGCAAGACATTATTCAAAATATATCATTAATGCTGATTATTTAGAGACATATTTGTGTTATGAGGTTATCGGTGGAGCCAACAAAATTGTACGTGCATTTAGTAGTTAACGTGCATTTAGTTATTTGTTGGCTCCACCGATAACCTCATATCGTTTATGTTAAATGTTCACAAAATCAAATCCTTTCTTTGGTCTCGAATGGGCCACACTCGTTCACATTGTAAAAATCGTACTTTCCATTGAATGTTTACAAATACATTGATTGTAATGCTGAACCACAAGGCTGACGTAATTGACAATGAAAATGGTTGTAACTGGAACAATATGGCACTCATAGAGCTTTCGTGCATATATCATTGAAATCAGCAGAAACTGAGCAATCCAGCAATAGCAAAAAAGGCCGATATCTTTTAATTTCAAAACCCTGATACCTAATCCCTGTAAACAAAGCACCTTTTGGCTTTAGCCAATCAAGTTAACTATTGAGCTTTTAGATCTGAGTAGCACCCCTTTTTCGTATCAATGAATCATATAAAATGTAGGCTCCTGTCCTTCCTTTCAATCCCTCCGTGACATCTTAAAACGTCGAACCACATACGGGTACGTTAGGCCGGGATAAGACTATCGAAGGGAAATGAACTAAACACCATTTGATATGCTCTTGAATGTCAGTGAAAAAAAGGCTTACGATGGCCGGGAATCGAACCCGGGTCAACTGCTTGGAAGGCAGCTATGCTCACCACTATACCACCATCGCTCAGCGCATCCCCTGAGAGACTGGAACGCTGCCGGGTTGGTGACTTCAACGCTCCACTCGTAGAGTGAAAGCAAGAGACAGCTTGCATGCCGTAGCTGACAACGTAAGACATCCGCTGAGGTCGAGTTTGACGACCGAAGGCTGAAGCACAGGTGCCGTGTGCGCCGGCCTGCTCCTGCCCTGAGCCGCCCCTAAGCTCTGCTGTGGGATCCCTAAGCCGCCCCTGAGCTCTACTGTGGAGTGTGGGAGCCCTGAACCACCACGGCCCTGAGCTCTGCTGTGGGATCCCTGAGCCGCCCCCGAACACTCACCATTCGGACGCGTCGGGTGACCGCCGGCCGGACCAGTTCCGCTCTCTCCGCGCCTCGCTCCTGGCTGCTCTGCAGACTGCTCTTTCTCCTCAGCACCGGGCCCGCGCCGTCCGGCGTCTTCCTCCCCGCCGTCACGGTGGCGGCGGCGGCCAGCGGGCGGCGGGCGCGCGCGGCGGCCACCCTGGCGGCGGCGCGGGCGGCGGCGGCGCGCGCGCGCGGGTCGGCCGGCGGGCTGCGGGACAGCCGCCGCCGCGGCGGGCTCACGGGCGGCACGGTGGCGCGCGTGGGACTCAGACGGGCCGAGCCGGGCCGGGAGGCGGTCAAGGAGCCGGCCGACGGGCTGCCGTACGAGCTGGGCGGTGAGCGGGCCGTGCGCAGGGCGGAGCGAACCGGAGAGAGGCGCCGCGTCGAGCGGCCGCGCCACGGCGGCGACGTCGCCACGGAGCTGGGAAGAGCGGTGGAGAGAGCAGATTTACTAACAGTTCTACAACACTCGAAACATAATCAAGCAGGAGATAGAAAATGTATCCCATTTTCATCTAACTATTTCTGCGACTTTACGCCACTAACGCGATGCTTTCTTTCGTACAGATTGCCGGATAACACAACTAAGTCACAAATACCACCAAAGTACCAGAAGTCTGCCAACTTTCCTTACAAGTCTCTAAACCATCGCTACCCCGCTAACTAACCCCACCCCGCCCATCGCCCCACTCCCGGCGCTGGCCTACCGTCGACTGGCGGCCGACTCTGCCGGCCGGCGACTGGACGTGCGGCTGGTCACGGACCCCGCCGGACTGGGGGGCGAGGAACCGGTGCCGGCCGGACCGCCATACTCGAGCTCCTCCTCTCTCAGCTGCTGCGTGATCGTGTCCGACTCTTGGCGCTGTGAACGATTGGGGGACTGGGGTTAGACAGGGAGGGTGTGAGGGGCAGGGGGCCAGATTTGGGGGGGGGGGCCTGGGAATCGGCTCCTGACGCAATGGACACACAGGAAAGTGTGGGTTAGAAGAGGGGATTTGAGGGGTGGGGAACGGCGCATCGAGCATGTTAACAAATTGCCACCGAGCTCAGAGATAAACCTTTTCATTAAATACAAAGAGACAGCGGCCTTTCATACATAGACAAGCGTCATTAGGTCATGATGCAAAAGTAAACCTCAACGAGCGCTTTAATTAAAGCAGTGGTACAGCGCTGCCTTCTCACGAGCCGCCTTTCCGACACTTCGCTGCTGATCCACCCCACTGTTCCGGCCTGTCCCGCGGTAGATACCTTTTTCCGTATCTCGTCCTGCAGCCGTCCGATGAGCAGCTCCTTTTCGGTGGTCTGCCGGAGCAGCTCGCGCGACTTCTCCGAGTCGCGCTCTGCCCGGCCGCGCCGCTGGAGCGTCCGCTGCAGGGCCGCCAGACGACGCCGCTGCGACGCCAGTTTGGCCTCCGACTGGCGCAGCATTTCGCGGTGTGCCGCCTCGGCGTCTGGGAACCAGACGAGGTGGCTGTGACTGTGAGGACTGAGAGGATAGAGGCCTGAGACAGAGACAGACTGAGAGGACTGAGACAGAGGCAGACAGAGAGGACTGAGACAGAGACAGACTGAGACAGAGGACTGAGACAGAGACAGACTGAGACAGAGAACTGAGACAGAGACAGACAGAGAGGACTGAGACAGAGACAGACTGAGACAGAGGACTGAGGCAGAGACAGACTGAGACAGAGACAGACTGAGACAGAGGACTGAGACAGAGACAGACTGAGACAGAGACAGACTGAGACAGAGGACTGAGACAGAGAACTGAGAGGACTGAGGACAGACGAGGTGGCTGTGAGGACTGAGAGGACAGAGGACTGAGACAGAGACAGACAGAGAGGATTGAGACAGAGACAGACTGAGACAGAAGACTGAGACAGAGAACTGAGAGGACTGAGGACAGACGAGGTGGCTGTGGGGACTGAGAGCAGTGTCCAACCGAGACCAGACCCGCGGTCAGATTAGGTACCAAAACAAAGTGCAGGGAGGCAACCCATCGTACCGCATTATTACATCGGTTATGTTTTTGCATGCAGTAGCGGCGGAACACCTTAAATTAAGGGGGGAGGGGTACCGCCGACTTTTGGTCCCATTCTTTCCATGCAACGCCCATAGGGCTAATGTTAAAATGTCAAAATAAAAGGGGGCACGGTGCCCCGGTGCCCTCCCCGTTCCGCCGCCTATCTGCATGCAGGGCAAAGGCCCTAACGCACCTGGGTGATTATTTCATTTCATTCGTCTTTATCTTCAGGTATCGTGTCAGCCTCATTTGGCGCTCTAATCGTGAAGGGGGAGTGGGGACGCACCCACATCCCGAAGCGGCTGGGACGATTCTGCTCAAAGTTGGCACACCGTAGGAGACCGGTTTGGGATTACAGTTTACACTATACCTACCGGGGCCGGGGGAGCGGTTGCATTCGGCACCTGAGCTGGCGTGCGTTAAACATTGGGCTCGTCCGGGATTTGAACCCGGGACCTCTCGCACCCGAAGCGAGAATCATACCCCTAGACCAACGAGCCGCTGAGATGCATTCCAGTGTTATTTTTTAGCCCGGCGTTGAGGTCACTTTCACTAAGCGAGCGTCATCGCCGCGCAGGCTCCGCCTAGCCTGTTAGCGAGAAGCTGTGAGCAAACCGCGATCATTTATAATGGTTATTACATTGAGAGTACTGTCATCCGTCCGTGCCATCCACAGGACAAACCCATCCACAATCGCCTCACGCTCCTTTGCGGGCAGGCGGTCACCCCACCTGACAATCGGTGGATGAGGCCGGGTCCTCACCTGAGACCCGTAATTCCTCTCCGGGTGACCGATTGGGAGGCGGGGGAACTTTTCCAAGGGAACAATCCGGTCCCATGGGGACGGTCTCGCCTCAGCGGCTCACTGTCGGTGTCCCGCACAGCCTCAAGTCAACGCCGTTTCTAGCATCCCATGCCCTGCAATGGTCTTTTTAGGCCGAAAGAGCTTGCTCCCAACAAAACAAACAAAGAAACAAACAAACAAACAAACAAACAAGCAAACAAACAAACACACACACACACAAATGAACAAACAAACAAACAAACAAACAAACAAACAAACAAACAAACAAACAAACAAACAAACAAACAAACAAACAAACAAAAGGGAGCAGGTTCAACTGTCCCGCTCGATTAAATTACAGATGCATTAGGTTGGTAGCATTGGTATGCAGTACGATGGTTCTCAGAGGGCGGGCGGTGCCTTTGTACAGTGTGCGAGTGCCGCACTGCGCAATCACTAGCACAGTGCACTTTACTTCCTCAATCGTAGCAGCGGGTCTATTCTCTATTTCGCCTCGACCAGCCTGCCGGTTTTCGGCATACACCAGGTCAAACGTCAGCCTGCTACTATCTCAAGGTCACATCTCGCTGAGAATGATCCCTTCCCTGGTACTACACTGGGATCGTGGCGAAGTTGTAACAGGTTATGACAGTGTAGAGTTGACATGTGACGTCATAAGTCATTGACCTGACCTGGCCTGACCATGCGGTAGGTACTTGTCAGGACCTGGCTTGAATCAAAGGCCAGTGCGCTAAATCTCAGCTTTCGCCAAAATTTCTGTTTTCTATCTTTCAAGCGTTCCGACCAAACACGAAAAAACGACAAGAGATGTCCTGTCCCTCGGCAGGAGAAGGATGAACGATCAGATGAAATTTTAACGAAATAAAAATGGAATCAAGAGCACGCCGATTTATGCCTAAACAACACTGACGGATTCTCGTGAGTATTTGCCAACCAAAAGGAAGCGGTGCGTTCAAAATCTTTGAGATTATCGACGTCAACTTGCTTTCAGCGAATTTCCATAATATGATTTTGATCTAAATTTTGAGCCAAACACTGGGCTCGTCCGGGATTTGAACCCGGGACCTCTCGCACCCTAAGCGAGAATCATACCCCTAGACCAACGAGCCGCTGAGTGATGGCAAAATGCTCTCTTCGCGGCCGCAATGGGCCTACTTTCACCTCACTCGGCCGGGCGCACCTTGGACTGGGCGGACTACCTAATTGTGGCCAAGACCATCGCTTTAACAGCAAAGGTCACCTGGTACACTATGGCGGTCTAGCCCCGGTACTTATCAAACTTATTGCACAGGAGAACTCAACTCTAAGAGAGCTTTAGGCGTTCTCCGTCAGGTCCACGCTTTGAGCAGAACACTGATGAAAAAAAAAGAAATATATACCCACCTATCTGACCAGTCAATTTATTAGTTTCCACTTAATGTAGTTTATTACGAAGACATTGCTGGTGAAACGCCTTCTGGGGCGACACAGGAGCGAGCGCGAGGGTAAGTCCTGCACGTGCGGAAGAGCAAAGTGAAAACCCCAACTGACTTGTATGAACCAGTCCTAAACGACTTTTCAAATTTGAGAGGAACTGACCTAGCCGTTCATGAGACGTGGATGCGGTATCCTGCACGTTTCCACGTGCAAACGGGGTCCCAGCTGACTTTTCCCCGGCCGACACCCTATAACTAATCGGTCCCCAACGGTGCACCAAATGTGGGCGCCATTAGCCAGCCGTTCTAAAGATTGGAAGCAATCCCTGGAGGAAGTGGAGGCATCATATTGCTCTTACTGCTGTTACTGCTGCTTCCATTATCAATGCCCTTCGCGAACTGCAGAGCCCAGATTACAGGCAAAAAAAGACCTCACCTTTTGTTCCTACCGATGGAGTAAACTGACTACAAATATAATAAAAATAGGGTCGGACATTCCCTCTTTGCAGCTTAGATGGTAACTGGACAAGTCCTGACATCTTTCTTATAAAATTCATATTCAACATAACTAATTGTTCGCTGGAAAGTGTCTTATCCAGACTTCATCGCCGTGATAGTCTAGTGGTTAGGACCTCGAGTTGTGGCCGCGGTAACCCCGGTTCGAATCCGGGTCACGGCACGCTTCCCTTTGCCCAGTTCCCATTGGGGTAACCCTGTGAGGCCTACCTTTGAGGTAAGCCAGCTTGTCGGCCCACTGGCGCCGCTTGACGCGGTTGTCCTGCAGCTCCTTAGCCAGCTCCACGGCGGCTCCTCGCTCCTCCAGGAACGTCTGGTGCTCGCGACTGATCCTTTCCCGCTCCTCCAGCTGACGCCAGAGGTCAGAGGTCAGACGGGGTCAGAGGTTAGAGGTCAGACGGGGTCAGAGGAAAACCACAGAGTTCAAAGTCTGACAAGGACGACGATATTTTCTAGAGAGGAAGGCGGCAGAATCCCGATTCGTTTAGCTCAGTCCTCAAAAGAAAATTGCAAGGCATAAGTCAAGTGACAAAAACATACATACTGGCACAGATATGAAGCAAGTACTTCCCAAAGCAAAGCAATTGATGTTCATCGCCGACCAAACCACCCCACCACTCTGCTGTAATAAACCAAATACCTGATGGTTGACGATGAACGTCGGGTACTTGTTGAAGACGGGGTAGGCGTTGGGCCCGATCGGCTCGAACTTGTCCATGTAGTGGCGCGCGTGCAGCTCGTCGGGCGTGTTCTCGTGCACGGAGTACGCCCGTCGCATCACGTGGCGCACGCTTACCACGTTCTGGTTACGGAAGTAGTACTGCCAGTGGGGCGAGAGGTGGGGTGGGATGAATTAATCACAGCCCAGCAGCTGTCCTGTTTATATTTATATTGTTTATTTATTAGCCTACTCTTGAAAAATCATAGGCATTTGATTTAACGAACGGCTGCCGTAACTGGTTGCGATTGAAGGTCAAAGGCGCATTTATGACAAGTGACAACCCTGTTGACCATTTACTTGGTTTCTTACATTCAAACTAATATCGCCGCGGCGTATTTGTAAATATTTTTGACAAGTCTCCGGACGTTGCTTCATGTGCAAACCATTCCCCGGCACGGTGGGTTCAGACGCCCACCTAAGAAAGCGTCTCGCAATTCCAAAACGGCGTGGTAAAACCGTGTCAAGCAGCTTAGATGCAAACATTATTCAAATCAGAACCTATTCATGACAAAATATTGCAAGATTATACTTCGATGAGATCTTATCACACTGACAAGACTAGCGTTCAGGACACCGGAATGTGGACGCGACAGCCCCAGCTCGAATCCGGGTCACGGCGGTGTTCGTTTAGACGCTCACCGAGATGAGCTGCCAGATTTGGGCCCACGGGCTCTAAGCAGCACTGTATTTGCGGCACCAGCGTCGCATCGCGATAACTCAGTGGTGGGGTTAAGTGGGTTTTCTAAAGCTAGTGCCCACGGACCTTCCACACGCAGGGCTTTTGGAGCCGAGACATTTGTACAGATATCATACGGTGCCTCTTGCACTTTATCACGAATTTTACAACCCCTATTTACATCTATTTTGGGAAAAAGGCTGCGATGGCCGGGAATCGAACCCGGGTCAACTGCTTGGAAGGCAGCTATGCTCACCACTATACCACCATCGCTAATACGCGATCTGGTTCTGAGGGCAGGCAATCAGGCCGATTCATTTCGTGAGTCATGAACTCAAGGTAAGCAAAATAAAACGTGTCTCGAAACAGCCTCAAGAAATTTCGTTTAACCATTTGGTGTGTTGTCAATGACCCGGCCTAACCGATCCACAAAAAAAAACTCATTATTACATGGCTCCTGTGTTAATTTGGCATGAGATATTTTTTACTATTGCCCGGCATCAGGTTACTGACCTTTCAGTGTCAGGTTACTGACCTTTCTGAAGGTGAGAAGCGGTTGCCATGTCAACGGTCAATAGTAAGTTGCTCGCGCAGTGGTGTTTGAACAAAATTCAAATGTCGTAATTTTATCGTCGTTTTCTCAGACTGTTCAGTTTGATTTCGTGATTGGCTAGTCAAGTCATCTAGAACTGGGCCGTCATTTGAACATGTCCGTTCAAATGCCCCGATTTAATTTGTTGGAGCCGCATGAATTGGATGAGCTATTTTCATCGCGCAGGGCTCCGGGCACTAAAAAGGTGATTAAATCAGCAGAAGACGTCTTCATTGAGTTCTTACAAGTAAAAGGCATATCTGTTGAAAGCTGCATGCACAGCAACGATGTCCTGGACAACGCTGTGAAGGAGTTCTTCATTACTGTAAAACGCAAGGACGGCGAACGCTACAAATCGAAGTCTCCACACTCTCAAGTACGGCGTGAAACAGAAAATAGAAACAGAAAACAGAAAACAACTAAGTGTGTGCCGTAGACATGTGACGTGGCTATGATTGTATATCCAATACATTCAATTGTACCATGATATTTGTGTTTGGATATTTTTTATTACGGGATGAATGAGTAGGTACTAAGTAAAGATTCCGAGAGTTGGCCATGTAATAAAACGAATACTGCATGGGGGAGCGGGCAATAGCAAAAATATTGCCCTCTGTAACGTCACTGTCGCCCTCGGGTGAAGACCTCCACAAGTGCTATTGCCCTCGGCTTCGCCTCGGGCAATAGCACTTGTTTCGGTCTTCACCCTCGGGCGACAGTGACGTCACATCGGGCAATATTTTTTGCTATTGCCCGCTCCCCCATGCAGTATTCGTATACTTTACCACAGAAATGGCCGTCTAGAATTCGGTAGGTGATAAGGTATTACGAGTAAAACAACCTGCGGTTACTCCTTTGTAAACATGTTTCCTATTCCTTAGATGATATATAAAAATACAACTACATAAAAATAATCAGGGAACACAGGTTAAAACTACACCTTTTTGCACTCAAAATAGGCATCTTTTCATTCAATTTCGGCGAATTGCATTCAATTTTAGCGATCTCTCTATTCGAAACAAATGAGAGATCGCTAAAATTGAATGCAATTCGCCGAAATTGAATGAAAAGATGCCTATTTTGAGTGCAAAAAGGTGTATTGCAGCTTGTGAGGACAGCAGAGAAACAATTGTGCCATTTGTTTCCAGCAGGCGAAAACGGTACTGCCGTGACCCGGATTCGAACCGGGGTTATCGCGGCCACAACGCGAGGTCCTAACCACTAGACTATCACGGCGGAGACCTCCACTGCTCTTTGAATGGCTCCATAAGCAAAATGTATAAAAGTAACCCCACAAACCCTCCCCATATTTTGTAGCAAGTTTTTGGACGCTTTTAGATACGCTAGGTAGCGAGAGTGATGGAATACTTACGGTGACATCGTCGGCCGACTTGCAGCGAGTGATGGCCGCCTGGGAGACGACGTTGTAGGCCACGACAACAGCCAGCATGAAGGACGGGTGGTTGGAGAGGATGTGGTCCCACGCCACCAGCCAGTCGTTCTGCGTAAACACCTGCCGTGGAGCGGGGCAAGAGCGCATTAGAAAAATGAAAGAAGAGACACGACACGATGCAGGACAATACAGGGTATAATGATAGACACAATTTAAAAAACGGTGTGGGAATAAGTAAATGGAGACAAACCATCGAAATTCCCTGATGATGACGGGCCAGTAATGCATGCCTAATAGGTAACGTCAGGGCAAGGCTATATAAACCAGGTAGAACGTTCCCGACGAAAAAGTGCTGACAAGCGATAATTAGTAGCCGCGACCCTCACTTGTTCAAAACTATATCCGCAAGCAGCATTTACAGGCTAGCGGAAATCGACCAATCGGCGTTCGGCAATACTCGACGCTGATTGGCCCGATGCTCGTGACGAAATTGCGGGGGACTGTAGCTATTCCCCTATGGCGTTTAATAGACTTACGGCTTTTGAAGGTGATTTATACCAGTTTTTGTTGGTTTTGAGGCCATTTTTGAGCTTGGATATTCTTTCTGTGACTTTTGACTGTGTAATAACGACATTTAATCATAACATTTCTATTTACTACCGGTGTCACATCGGCCAAAAAGACCGTAAGTACATGGGATAGACGGACCACTGCTGATGGGGCCACACATGCCGGCGTGTGGTCATCGGAGGTCCATGAGGGCTCGACATAGGCCCTTCATGGGTCGGTATAGGCCCGGTGGGTCCAGTGCAAGCCTATCAGGGGCCGGTGCTGACCCAACAGGGCCCAGTGGCATATAATGTAAGGCTGTCTAAGGACGTTGAGGGCTCATGGGGACCATATAGGACCAATAGGGACTACAAAAGTCAATCAGGGGCCATTTAGGCCAATAAAGGCACTTCAGGGGACTTGAAAAGGTCATTCAAGAGCTGCGGTGGGCCCATGAGGGGACGGCACTGGTCCAGCAGGTGCAGTCAGGGGATGTTGTACGGGTTTCTCAGTGGCCCATTTGGGCATATCAGTGACCAATTTGGACCCAGCAGGGGGCTTTGTAGACCTATCAGGGGCTGGTGATGGTTCATCAGGGGCCAGCGTTATAGTCCATCGGGGCACGGCATATGCCCATCAGAGGTAATTGCGAGCCCACGCTGAACAATGATGGCCCTTCAACGGCCCCTAATGGATCTACATTGACCCATGGGCCATAATGTGTCATGTATGCCCCTATGACAGGCCTACTCAGACCCCTGATGGACATTCCCGGCGTCTAATGACCCTATACTGAATGCTGATGGGGCTCTAAGTTTCTCCAATAACCCTTCGTCAACCCATTATTACCATACGCTGGCACTAGGGGCCCCACATCAGCCGCAGGGCAGTCCGTGCCATGACAGCATGTCTTTTCGGCCGATATTACATCGGTAATATTTATTAAAATCATGATTTTATGGTGTCATTATATAGCTAACAGTCATAAGAAATATATTTCAACTCGAAAACAGCTCCAAACAGCATATAATTTTAAAGAACCCCCTCCGAAATCCAAAAGCCTATTCGGGTCCATAGAGAATAACTGCGGTCCCCCACAATTTCGTCACGAGCGTCGGACCAATCAGCGTCGAGTACGGCCGAGCGCTGATTGGTGAATTTTCCGCTAGCGTGTAAGTACTGCTCGCGGAACAAGAGTTCGTCGACAATCCTCCACAAACGTCTGTCACCATTTTTCGTAATGCTAAACAGCCGGAGCGTACCCCCCTGCGTCAGGGTGAACTGGGGTCAGCTATACCTCCAGTAAAAAATCGCCGGCTGCCGGTATTTGAAATATTTTGGTTTTCCACAAAGCAGTCAAGTGAAAAAGAACCGCTAATATGAAAATATCACGTCTGAGGCTGGCGGATATTTTTTCACATCAACGACTTTTTCCTCTAGTCTGCGAAACTCGGGGGCGACATGAATGCCCCCCCCCCCCTAAAAAAATAGCCGCAGACGGCGATTTGTTCTTTTAGTAAAAGTGGCCTCTGATAAAAGACCTCTCCAAAACCATCGAATTCAATGTTCGTCTTACTTCAGACAGTGAATGTCATAGAATCCTGAACAGCACTGTGTTACAGAACGAACAGCATGCACCCAGACATCGATGAAACACCACACAATCAAGATACCTTTCTTGCCTACAAAGACCACAGCTGGCCACCACACAGCTTCAGTGAGTTTACTCCCCGACTTATCACCTCTGAGAAGGCGGTCTCGAGCAGCGGCCAGCCGTACACGTGCGCCGTCACGCCCAGCTTCATGTAGTGTTTGAGCAGCTCGGGACAGTGGTGCGCCAGCATGTTCTCCACGAGACCCAGCACAGAGATGGGCGGGTACGGGAAGAACTCGAACCAGCGCTGACACCAGTTCACTGCACCAACAGAAAATGAATATAAAAAAATGACGCGCTGACACTAGTTCACTGTGGAAAAGAAAATGAATATAAAAAATGACGCAAGAGCCAGTCCAGATATTCTGGCTGGGGTGGTCGGGGTAGTTGCCAATCGATAGTACCTACTTCTAGTTCTGGCGGACCATTTATAATCGATTAATGGACACATCGACTGTTATTATGTCTGCTTCTTTTACGGTGATAAATACAGTTACAGAATATTTACCTTAAGTATATACCTTAAGTATTTACCTTAAGTAAAGGTCATTAGATACCCTTTCGAGTAATAAGACCCTTTACTCAAGAGGCGCCTCCTCCTCTTCTGATGAAGACGAGTTTTTTTTTCCAACATTTATTGACAATTCATACAAATATGACACAGGTGTATAATAATCGAGGGCTCTCAAGCCCAACAAGGACAGTCGCTGTCGTGGCTTCTGACACGAAACAGCCGGTTTCCCGTCTATGCCAACGAGCGCCCCAGGTTGAGACGTTTAAACCCGCAAACGCCCGATATGCACCGACACAATAGGGCTTTCAAAACCCCCACAACTTGCGAGTAATTTGGCAAGCGTACACGCTGGCATACAATGCTGGCAATATACACAAATCGGACGCCACATTTCAACTGCATTTTAACTATAGGCGGCGGCCGAGCTATATAAATAGAGCTCGCCACCACCACGCGACGTGGTGTGGCCCGCCTGGTCAAGCCGCCCCGGTGTCTTTTCATGGACTAAAGAAACGCGGCGGGCCATCAGCCACCGCCCGCGCCGCCCGGCGAAGGGGTATCGCGGGCGGCGCCCCCTATCCACCGGCCGGGCGTGCGAGCCGTCGACTTGTAGGGCCGGCGCCCCGCACGCCCGGCCGGCCGACCGGCCCCAGTCGAAGAGGCCGGTCCCGGGTTGGCCCGGATGGGTCTTGGGAGCGGTGGCTGATTTTTTTTATTAACAGACACACAAACCAACAGCAGCAGCAGCACGTACGCAAGCGCACTTAATGATGCTCAAACCGGTGAGGCCGGTCACAACGGCGCCCACGGCGACAGCGAGCAGCGGCAGCGGCAGCGGCGCGACGGCAGCAGCGACAGAGTATCCTATGTATAGGGTAAGTAAGACATCGAAGACCGAGGAGCCCGACGCGCGGAAACGGCGCTCACCACGTCGCCCGCCGGCCACGCCCCCCGCCGGAACCAGCCCCCGCCACCGGCAGCGCCAGCAGAGGCCCGCACCGCCCGCGCACGCCACCGCGCGAGCTCGCCGGTCCGCCGGTCCCCGCCCGCGCCGGCAGGGCCGCCAACGGGCCACGCCCCGCCAGCCAGAGCACTGATTACCGTGATAAGAGCCATTGTACCTACAAATCGGGCAATTGGCGGCGCGCCTCGTCCGGCCCCGGCCCGCCGGCAGCTGCGTGCGCTGCGCATCTCCTTACGCACAACTTGGCAATGGATGGTAAGCTTGTGACTACACGAGCTGACTACTCGTGTTGTAAAATGTTTTTCAATGCCCCCCATTTCGATTCAAACACCCTTATTTTGTTGACGTGTCTAGCTGTTATTATTTCAGTTTCAGCTTCGCGCTTTAATTTATATTTAAAATGTACTACGTTTGGAATAGCTTCCTTCGATCGTGCTTCGCATATTACTTGTTTCATCAAGGTTAAAATGAGTACTTCAATTGGGTTTAGGTTTTGTACGAAAAATATTGTTTTTGGAGTTATTTGAAGTGCAAATTGGTGTGTAGATTGTAAGAATACTTTTATGTCGGTAATGAAACTCTGAACTTCGGTACAGGACCAAAACATGTGCGCTAAAGTTTCTGCGTGTCTGTGACAAAACGTACATTTATCATCGTCTTTCACATTGATGATATTCAGAAATTTGTTTGTAGTGAGAAATCTGTTAACTATTCGGTAATGTAGCATAATGAGTCGTGTTGAATGTGTGGCGTTCATTACAGCCACTGTGCTATCCTCTGCAAAGTGTCCAATATCTGTCATCCATTTCTGTCTTAGACGCTCATCCGCATTCTTTGTTTCGGCTTTCTTTGATTGTATTGCCATCTGATATGCATAGCGTGAGAACTTCGCATGATTCATAACGAGATTTAATCTCGTTGGTATTATTGGTTTCGGTATGTCGTCGAAAGATTGACGTCTCACACATTCAGGTAAACTTCTCACGAGGCTTGAATAGCACAGAATGGTCATTCTTATTCCAAACCTATCTTGCACCGCTTCCCTCGTCATTATCCGCCCAGTTTGTTCGTCAATCAAATCTGCTATGAACCTAAGTCCTTTTTCGTTCCAATTTTTCACGATAGAACAGCTATATTTCGAATAGTCCGAGAACCATAGGCTCTCATTTAGTATACCGACATCGTCTGGGCTATAGTCTATGCTAAAGCGGCTGTACGCTTCCAAAACATCCTGCCAGAATGGATTGTTTATTTTGGAGCGGATCCTTAATAACTTTTTGCTTCCAAATTGAGGAATGCTTTCAACACATGGTAGGCTTCATTCTCAGCTAGTCTTACCCACGAAGCTTTAGATTCCCTTAACCTCTTAAGCCATGTCAATTTAAGGCTTTGGACGAAAGCTTTAATATCGATCATTTGCAATCCACCTGCAGCGTAACTTTGCATCGTTTTGGCTCTTTTTATAGGATCCCTTCCCCCATTCCACACAAAAGAAAAGAAAATGCGTTCTAGCTTTTTGAGTATGAATTGTGAAGGATTAGGCAGAACAGTTAATAAGTGAACTAGCTTCGACAACAATAAAGACTTAATCACAGTTATTTTTCCCAGTTGAGTAAGATTTCGCCTCCGCCATTGCGCTATTTCTTTGTTAATCTGAGCGATTTTTGGTTCCAAGTTCGTTTCAGTTATTCCCTTATTGTTGTTAGAGAAAGTTATTCCTAAAATCTTTATTTGACTAACCCATTTACAGCCGAAGTTCTCAGACTCGTATCGCCGAGGGTCTACCCCGAGAGGAAGACATGCTGTTTTTTCTATGTTGAGTTTTAGGCCAGAGAAATTTGAAAATGTTTCTAATTCTGATAGTGCTCCTCGTATTGAACTTGCCTCACCGTCAAGAAATAATACCGTGTCGTCCGCATATTGCATGATTTTTACTTCGCTATCAGGAGAGAGCTGGATACCAGATAGTATCCGAGATTGTTTGATTTGATTTGCTAGAACATTAACAGCCAAATTGAATAGGTATCCTGATACCGGATCCCCTTGACGTATACCGCACTTCAGATATATCTTTTCTCCCAAGAAACCGTTTAACAGTATTCTTGAGAAATTTTCGTCACTCATATATGTTCGTTAACATGGCTCTGAAATTTGCTCGAGTTGATGCACTTGATGAAGACGAGTTGGCTGCCATGCTTGTTGTCGCCATAAAATGACGACCACTGTTGTTAGTGACAGTAGCTACTGTTGTTCATACGATGAGTAGCCACTCTTGAGCATTAGTAGGAGAAGTTGTAGTTAAACTTGTCGGGGTGGTCCTTCCATTCTTTCCCAAGTCTGAACTTAAAAACATCGACATTTGGTGCTTCAATAGTGTTCCTAGACAGCTTGTTCCACGCCCGAGTCACTCGTGCCGCGAAGAAGGCTTTCCTAGGTCCCAACTGATGCTGAACCTGCAGCTTTTGACCATGACTTCGGGTGGTACGGCTAAGAGAGTTCTTGAACATGCTGTTGCGACAACACGAGCACTCTCTTTGGTAGTTCACCGTGTCGAAGCCTTTTAAGATTTTGAATGTCTCGATAATATCTGATCTTTGCCTTCGGAATTCAAGGGTAGGCAAATTGAGGCTTCTGAGACGATCTGAGTATGATAGGTGAGACAGCCCCTTCACCAGTCTCGTTGCCCGCCGTTGCACCTGCTCGAGTGCGTCTTTATCCTTCTTAAATTTGGGGCTCCATATAACAGCGGCATACTCAAGATGGGGTCTCACGATGCTCTTGTACAAAGCTTGAAAGACATCACTGTCAATGTTTGCAAAGGTATGTTTGATGACTCCGAGAATTCTATTGGCCTTGTTAACCTGGTTCATGACATGTTTTGAGAATGATAGTTTCTTGTCAATAGTAACTCCTAGGTCTTTTTCTTCACTGACTGCTTCCAGAGTGTGATTGTCTCCATCTATAGTAGTCATAGTATAATCTTTTTCAGGATTAGTTGATCCTAGATGCATGACCTTGCACTTCAGTGGATGGAATAGCATCTGCATTGTTCTTGCCCAATCCTGTATAGAGTTTATGTCCTCTTGTACGCCATTTGAATCATCAGACTCGTTGACGACTTGATAGACTTTCGTATCGTCGGCAAACATGGAAATGAAACAATTTAACAGGTCGGGAATGTCACAAACAAACATAGAGAACAAGAGAGGTCCGAGGACTGAGCCCTGTGGCACCCCGCTCGTTACATTCCCCCAATCTGAAAGCGATCCATTTACTTTCACCCTCTGCTGTCTGCCAGTGAGGAAGCTCCTTATCCATCGGCATGTTACGCCATCGACTCCCAGAGCCTTGACCTGGGCCAGAAGCCGTTCATGGGGCACAGTGTCGAAGGCTTTGGCATAGTCTAAAAATACAACATCCACAGGTAACTTGTGACTAAGCGCTTCTGTCCAAACATCAAGTGCTTCCAGTAGGTTTGTGACCGTGGATTTTCCCGTGATGAAGCCATGCTGTTGATGAGCGATAAAGTTATTTGTCTTCAGGTTAGTAATGATGTCTTCGCCAATTATCCTCTCCAAAAGCTTACATAGTATTGATGTCAATGAAACTGGTCGGTAATTTGCAGGATCACTTTTGTCACCCTTCTTAAAGATCGGTGTGACGATCGCCAGCTTCCACTGCAGGGGAATTTCCCCAGTTTCAACGCTTTTTCTAAATAATGCCGTGATAGGTGGCGCAAGCTGGTCCGCAAGTTCCTGTAATACACGAGGGTGTAACTTGTCCGGGCCTGGTGATTTATCGACCTTAAGTGTCTTCAACATGGCATTAACTCTCTGAACAGTTATTGTAACTTCCATCTCTGACTCCAAGGGCTTCGATGCTATTGTTGGAATTGATGATACGTCCTCCTTTGTAAACACGCTCGCGTATTGCTGGTTCAATATGTCAGCTTTGTGCTTGTCATTACTCGTGAGTTCTCCATTAGCACTGCGTAAGTCAGATACACCGCATCTCGACTTCCTACGGCGGTTGACGTAGTTCCAAAACACTTTATGGTTACCTTTTACTTCTTTAGCCAGTTTCGACTCAAATTCTCGCCTTGCTTTCCTTGTCGCGTGAGTAGCTTCATTTCTTGCCTTAACATAGCTCTGGTAATCAGAAACATCTTTAGTGTTCAAAAAACGAATCCAGGCGTGCTGTTTCTTCTTCACCATCCTCAGAGCATTTCGATTCATCCAGAGGGGATATCCCCTTTTCGATTTTTTGTTAGGATCAACCTTGGGCACATGCTCTTCTATCAGATCCGCGATCGTTTGTTCAAGTTTATCTGCCATCTCCTGCACAGATTTACCTTCAAACAATCCTTGCCAATCCATGTTAAGTGCTTCCCCCATATCTTCATAATTGGCTTTATGGTAGTTCAGCACCGCACTCTTTCTCGCTGGAGCCTTTGGTGCAAACGACATAACAAATGAGATGCTGACATGGTCGCTTGCTCCAACCGGGTCACCAATGCTGAGTTGCTCAACCAACTCCCGCTCATTTGTAAATAGTAGGTCGTCGAGAGTAGCTCGCTGTCCATCCCTGTATCTTGTTGGCTCCGTTATATGTTGTAGAAGGTAGGTGTCGTGTATGCATTCTATAAACTTCCGGGCTGGGCTGTTCTGGCTGACACCTTCTGGAACTTCGGGGTCCGGGGTCCAAAATATTTCTGGGTGGTTGAAGTCCCCAACTATGACTTTGTGGGAATGATTTGAGGATGCCGCCCAACCAAACATTTTGTGGAGATCATGATCCAAAGGAATAGCTCTGTTTGGTGACCCACTTCTATAGATCACCCCAACGAGCATACTGACCCCAGCCTGGGCACCAATTGAAATCCAGGTACAATCTTGAAAGTTGCCGCCTACCGTGGGATACACTTGCTTGGCCAGTAAGTTTTTCTTGACGTAAATTCCCGTACCCCTTGTACCTTCGGCAGAAAATTTGCTAGTAAAAAGGTCATACCCAGGCACTTCCATAACAGTATGTTCAGGTATCAATCCAACTTTGGGCTTCATTTCTGATAACGCAAGAACATCGTAGTCCTCAAGTGCAATGAGTGCCAAAATAGAGTCGTATTTACTCATGATAGAATTATCGATGTTCGCATAAAACACTTTTAACGCACTTGAATGTGTTGGGGGCCCGGTTGTTTTCGTGCCATCTTGGATGTTTAGCTTTGCAGTGATGGAACCATGACCACTTCGTTCCGTTTTATCATCCATTTCTTTTCTGGGAAAGCTAGGCGCTTTTCCTGCAACAGTGCTCGCAAGTTTTTTGAAGCCTCAAGTTGGCATTTTGTAAGATCTGGACGGATAAAGACACTAGTATATGTTTCTTCACGGCTTGTTCGCAGATCCTTCGCTTTAGCCAAGATCAGCTTCTTTTCACTCAGTGCCTCGAGTTTCACTCTAAGTATTCTGGAGCCTGTGTCTTTCATCTTTCCAAGTCTTGTCGCCTCCTGTAACTTCACAGATAACTTGAACTCAGACTTGATCATTTCTTTGAATGCTGCGATGTCTCCCTCGCTGCTGCCGGTCTCGGGGAGGTTGAAAACAACCAAGTTTAGTTTTCTGTTTTCAATGTCTTCTAGTTGTTTCAATGTCTTCTAGTTGTTTTCAATATCATTAAAATGAGTTATAATAGCAGGATGTAACTTCAAATAAATTGAAGTTAGTCAAACGTAGTACCTACTTACTACCTTCCCTACCTATTCAAAATTGTAGCAAGATTGATATCAGCAAAATAAGAAAAATGAACAGATGGAATTATTCATCGAGATGGCATCTCTTTGATGCGAAACCAGCTTATCAAAACTGGTATAATATATGCACTATTTTATTTTATAGAATTCTGGGAAATTACAATTAAACGCTGCACTGCATCGCCGTGATAGTCTAGTGGTTAGGACCTCGCGTTGTGGCCGCGATAACCCCGGTTCGAATCCGGGTCACGGCAGACTCCCCGTTTATTACATTCAGCAGTCAAAAGCCGTGACAAAGTGCAGGTCAGACTGCAAAGCTTGTCGAGACAAACGAATATTAGACTTGAATAGCAATAATGCGACATGTTTCACAAGACGCTTGTAATTAATAGGCTGCCTAATCAGGGGTCTATACCATGTCCAATCCGACTTGCACTCGCAATGCCGGCCCCTTCCCAATAGAGGCGAAACAGACTCGAAAGCACGAAAAAAAAACGTAGTAAAACCACATTTTCTGACGTAATTGGCCTCAAATGTGAATGAGCATTTCCAAGAGAAAATATGTGATGCGGGTAACATAATAATTTCATACCAAGCTTTAACCCTAGAACGCCTAGGGGGGGGGGGTTGTATCAACCCCCCTGAGGTTTTTTCGAAGTGCACGCTAAACGGCTTGTCGTAGCGGGCTGAAATTTTCAATACCCTCTGGGGCAACCTTTGCGCATCTTTTGCCGAAAAAAAAATTGATCGGGTCATGTCAGGTCACGGAGTTATGACGTCATAAGAGGTACAGCCTCCGGCCGACAGTTACCAAACGTGTGCGCCGAATCCCTAGGTTTTCTGCCGGTGATACCCACATTGTTTGATGGATCATGATGAAACTTCCCATGCATGTTGGGGCAAGCATTGGCTATCGTGTGGTGCAAGAAAATTGACCGGGTCAGGTCAGGTCACGGAGCTATGACGTCACAAGAGGAACAGCGTCCGGTACTATTTTTGAAAATCGCCCGAACCACTATTTTGCTAATTCTTGTCACCTCAATGGGAATATGCAGCAATATTAGCTTCTATAGGGAGCAAATGGACCTCCCAAATCCAAAAATACAATCAGATTTCAAAAATTTAAATTTTGATTTTTCGAATTTCTGCCGCCGACTGTGACCTTGCCGACTTCCGGCGCTCCCAACGCGCCATTTTTAGAGCTAGGGAAACGATATACATACCAAACGATAGAGAATTGATCAAGGAACACGATAGTGAAGGTTTCAAGTCGATATCTCCCACCGTTTTGCCGCAATCGCCGCGGAAAGTTGAAAAAGTTTGATTTTTTCGGAAAATTTGACCTTTGACCGGTCATAAGTAGGTCAAATGTTGACCTAGGACCAAAAAATATACCACCAATCGCGAGATCTCGTTGAGAGCAATCCGTTGGTTTTTTCCGCTAAGCTCTACGACCTTCCGTTTCGAAACGCCAGGGGGGGTCGTAACAACCCCCCCCCTGGTCGTTCGTGTTATGAGAAATGGCCTGGTCGTGCGAGGGTTAAGTGCAAAATAGCCACCGACGGACGCAAAAGGCATGGAGCTCGGCTTGAAAACCCTGAGATAAAACAAAATTGACGCGAGACAACCGTAACATTTAATCCAGGAAACCCATTTTACTTGCCCCACCAAACAGTAAGATGAGCCGTTTCGCTGCGGGACACCCCATCCCTCTCCGCTTCTCACCTAGCAGGGTGATGACCATCTCCAGGGCGGTGAGCGGGTCCGACGAGAACACGTTACAGAACGGGAACACGAAGTAGGGCAGGAACTCGACCTCGGCGAACAGGGGACACCACCAGGCCAGTGCCGACAGCGTGCTGGGAGGACACAGAGAGGCCAGACGACCGGGAGGGGCGGACGTCAGAGCCACAGGCCGGGGCGGCGTGGCAGCTGGTGGTGTGCATCGCAAAACAAAATTGCCATGGAATGAAAAAGGTCGTGCAATGACTTGGAAGAAGCAGTGCTAACTGCTAACAAAATCTATCTAAATATACACATTACACAATTAACTAACAAAACAAATGGTAAATCAAATTAAAATACAATAAAACTCACAGGCCTGGCCTGGAAATGGAAATCGAAAGCGTTCGTCGAATATCATGAAACTTAAAATCAAAATTGTCGGAACAGGAATAATAGGAACAGGAATAGAAACAGGATAAAAACTTTCATGCTTGCATAACTAAAAACACATTACTTACACTAAAAAACACATGAAGTTCGTGCCGACTGACGTGCATCCGACTCCAGGACGAACAGGATTGATCATCCCGCGGAGACCCGATCTCCCATCTACCCTGTCAGTGTCACTGACCTGGAGAGCACCTTTGCGACGGCCGGGTCGCGGACCGGGTATCGCTGCGCAGCGTTGCGCCACGCCGGGTGCTGCCCTCTCTCGGCGACCGTCACGTACAGCGCATGCGCACCAGGTAGTTCCAGCAGGTGGCGCCACACGAGCCGGCGGTACTGAGCCGGGAACTCGCCGTGCTCGCGCACTATCGGGCCGAGCCGGGCTGTGTTGAGCAGTGGCGTCTTGCCGCGCTGAGGAGAGTGGGAACAATTACCAGTAGGCTGAGCAAGAGGGACGCGACCAAAGGAAACCCCACGGCCAAACCGGTACCCATGGAAACTGCTCGACTATCTCAATTTTAGCTCCATTCTTCCATTCGTCTTAAGTCCACCGCTCTACAGAATATACCGCTCCATGTTTCTATCCTCAGGATACTGAAATCCTTCTCCTCCACACCGCAACCCCCTCCGGGCTGGACAGGCAACTTTATCTCATGTGGGCTGCTCCCTTGGAGCGGCACCGCTGCTCCCGAGGGAGCGCACCCCGTAGCCGGGTGCAGTGAGTGCCTTGGGGCTGGGTGGCCTGTCTTCGGACGGGCTCAGCCCCGGCGACTCACTAGGGTGCCTGCCCAGACCAATGTCTCCCCCTATATCCTATCATCCTCCCGGCTCTGAAATGGTCTTACTGGACCGAAAGGGCCTAACCCAACAAAAAAAAAAAAAACAACAAAAACAGAATATACCACACGAGCTTTTACCACACATAATCCCCTTCCAACAGACACATCGCCACAACCAGTTGAGACCGACCTTGGGCGTTCTCCTGGTCCCTGCCACAGCTGCCGAGCCGGAACGATGCGCCACTGCCGGTGTCTTGACACGCGTCGTCGAGTCGTCCACTAGCAGGACGCGCGGCTTGTTGTCGTAGAACGCCTCGGGCAGCACGATTCGTCTGAACACCTCTCCGGTGCTGTGGTGGAGGCAGATGTGCCCGGTGGCCAGCAGGCAGGCCAGGAAGAGGCCCGTGTGACTGCTGGAAGTCGACGCTGGGGGCGGGGAGAGCTCAGATTATAAAATGTCACCAGGGATTCAGACTTGGTGCATGAATAGCTGCTGAATCGTGTGAAGGCAAACAGTGGCGTAGACGTGACATGTTACGGTGGGTCCGTATCAAAGCGTCCAAAGCCGCAGCGTCCAAAGTACGCAACATCCAAAACCGCAGCGTCCAAAGTATGCAACGTCCAAAATACGTCCAAAATCGGGTTTATAGGGGGCATTCACAAAGTCCAAAACCGAAACATCCAAAACCGCAACGTCCAAACACGTATCATCCAAAAAACGCAACATCCAAAGACGCAACATCCAAAGTACGTAACCTCCAAAACCACAACGTCCAAGACCACGACATCCAAGGCACGCAACATCCAAAACCAACCTAACCTAACCTAACCTAACCTAACCTAACCTACTGATTTTTGCCTATCCCTAACCCAACCTAACCTAACCTAACCTACTGATTTTTGCCTACCGGGGATAAGGAAACCTAACCTAACCTAACCTAACCTAACCTAACCTAACCTAACCTAACCTAACCTAACCTAACCTAACCTACTGATTTATGCCTACCGGGGATAAGGAAACCTAACCTAACCTAACCTAACCTAACCTAGCCTAACCTAACCTAACGGTTTTGGATGTTGCGTACTTTGGATGTTGCGTACTTTGGATGATGCGTCCTTGGATGTTGCGTTTTTGGATGATACGTTTTGGATGTTGCGGGTTTGGATGTTTCGGTTTTGGACGTTGTGAATGCTCCCTATATACCCGATTTTGGACGTATTTTGGACGTTGCGTACTTTGGACGCTGCGGTTTTGGATGTTGCGTGCTTTGGATGCTGCGGTTTTGGACGCTTTGATGGTCCCCCGTTACGGTTTTCAAGGGTGACTATAGCGACGGAAAACTCATGCTTATAATCTGTAGACATGAAAAATGGACAGTGCCTTGTTCTTGGCTGAGGCAAGACGTTGCGATGGCCGGGAATCGAACCCGGGTCAACTGCTTGGAAGGCAGCTATGCTCACCACTATACCACCATCGCTGAAAGTTAAGATTTTGGGCGGCTATCCCGCGCGGACCACGACAGACATAAGACGGTTGAATTGCTTGGCTGCTAATTTATGAAGTTAGATTGTTGTGTTCAAACCGAATCGACTGAGAGGATCTGAATTGCAACGGTGAAACCAATAAAAAGTTTAGGAAAAAATCAGCACGAATTCGATGACGAAAAGAACATTCCACATTCCTCAACCTTTCCAGTTTCCACATTTTGATCTTGTCAAAGGATAGTGATGGTTATGACCCATGTTCAGTTTCATATGTTTTTTATATCAGCAATATTCTGCCTGTCAGGAATAAAATGTTCCGCTATTTTGTGCAAGCCACCCAGCACAGCTAGGATAAGAGGGATGAGCAATGAAATCAAGACAAGATATTGAGAAATTGCCATTTACTTTCCACAGTCCACACACCCTGCATCAACTTCACGAGACTATACCATTACGAACTGCGTGGCCAGTGGCAATAACTATTCTTTTGCTATTGGGAAGTTGCCACAGCAACGTCCAATTTCATAGTGCTCGCACAACCACCAAAACGTTTCCCTTCTGCCGTGACCCGGATTCGAACCGGGGTTATCGCGGCCACAACGCGAGGTCCTAACCACTAGACTATCACGGCTGATGCTCGTCTCCAAAGTTACCACCCCCAGTGCCCCCCCCCCCCTCTCCACGCCCACGTGACGAGAACGAGAACTTCAAGCTCCCATTGACTGACCGATTCGGATCCTGGGATGGCCGAGACTCTGTACGACATGTCCTGTCTCCGTGTGAATGAACTTGTTCACGCCACTCTCCAGCAGAACCTGCAGAATCTGAAAATGAGCAGATAGTGTGAGCCATATGGTATCCACTATCCAGCCGACAACAGAGGGAGCATAAATGTCTACTGACTGCTTGGTAATCTACTAAAATAATGTCCTATACCCAACTATCCACTCAACGGTAATGATGTGTAAATGCGGAATGCCCATTCCTCTACGCAATACGCATAAACTTATCACGTTTCTCGACTGGCGACGACTTTCAGAACCTTGTGAGCTCAATTACGACGTCATTATTCCCCATTAATTCCCTAACCTGTCCAAAGAACGGTCCGGGGAACACGGAGAGGTGCGCCACGGCGCCACTGCCATCCGGCAGAGAGAATATCCTGGTGACGCGGTCCTCGGCGAGGCTAAACTCGAACACTTGGCTCGACTTGCCGGCCGCGTAAAACACGTCACTGTCCCTGGGGGAAAGACACGGGGACTGTCAGTACTTCTGGGGGAATGAGGTATGCGTCAGTGTTTGTGTCTAAAGGATAGGTCGGGTTACTTTCCCTGTTGAGTTATGTAACAAGTCGCTGCCATGTGTTACGCACGTTCCAATCGATACGTGTCACAATCAGCGTGATCAATGAGAATAATGGTAAATAATCGGGCGTCCAGCTGACACCGTTCCGTGCTTCTGTCCTCACGATACTGAAATCCTTCTCCTCCACGCCGCAACCCCCCTCCGGGCTGGACAGGCAACTTTATCTCATGCGGGCTGCTCCCTTGGAGCGGCACCGCTGCTCCCGAGGGAGCGCACCCCGTACCCGAGTGCAGTGAGTGCCTTGGGGCTGGGTGGCCTGTCCTCTGGACGGGCTCAGCCCCGGCGACTCACTAGGGTGCCTGTCCAGACCAATGTCTCCCCCTATATCCTATCATCCTCCCGGCTCTGAAATGGTCTCATTGGACCGAAAGGGCCTAACCCAACAAAACAAAAAACAAAACGTCCAGCTGAAATAATACATCGTAAGAAACATCCGCGGAGTCCACAATCACATATCTGCAGACAACGAACTAAATGAGTGTGATGCGTACGTAACATTTCCTTCTAGCAAGTCTGACTCACTCCTATGTGAGCAATGCCCACACGTGACAGCAGCTTATCCGACCATAAAAATAAAACCATACCCCAAAGTGGTAACCATACTCCTAACCACCCCTAACCAGAAACTCTCAACCATACAAGCCTCACCCCCTTCTTCCCATTCTCAGCAACGTCTCTAACTACTATGGACACTCACTCGGCTTCAGCAACGTCTCTAACTACTAGGGACACTCACTTGGCTTCAGCACCGTCTCTAACTACTAGGGACACTCACTCAGCTGCAGCGACGTCGGTGAGTCCGGCTCGATGTCGACTGAGCTGGAGGACCTCGTGGGTGACCTGAAGGGTCTCCAGACACCAAACGTACACAGAGTCGTCACCGAAGGCGCCCAGCAGAGCCGAGTCCGACAGGTAGATCATCTGATGGTAGGGGGAGTTCGATCAGTAAGGGGGCGATAGAAAGATGTGACGGCGAAGGAAAGCTAAGGAGGGGTGTGAAGGCGGGGGTAACTCCTTAAGTGAGATAGGGGTGACGTAGAGTAACGAAAGTGTCAGAATGATGCCCAGATGACAGGGATCTACAATTATGGTGGGGCGTACCAGGCAGTGTAGCTCAGGTGCAGAGTCTGACGTGAGGAAACGAGAAATGAAGCCAGCAACCAGATTGAAGATGTGAGTGAAGTGAAAAACGGAGTCGTGAAATAAGGAAGCAAGGGCGCATCACCACTTTTTCCCACACCTGCTATATTGCATGATTAAATCGAGACATCCAGGCATTTAAACGGCACGTGCACTGTACCACACTTTTCAAAGTTTAATGCAATGCTTTAATATTACAAGCCGTGTGGTTCAAGGGGTGTGGTTAAACACGTTGAACCACACGGCTGCTGACGTCACTATCAATTATAGTTGTGAGCTTTTTGGCAGGTATGGGAAACACCTTCCACTCCAGCCCTAAGGCCGGGAATTCAATAAATGTCACCTCGCTTTTTTAGCAAAATCACCTCGGGCCTAACGGCCCTCGGAGTTTTCGCTAAAAAAACCTCGGTGACATTTATTGAATCATCCCGGCCCCGGGCAGGAATATATTAAAATACAAACTACAATAAGAAGTAAGTTCCACTCAGCTAAACGCAGCTCAGTGAAAGTACACGACACTGACAAACCAGACCAAGGATGATTCAGACGTTGACTTATGCGATGGCCTCACTACCATTGCAGCCGCATCCCTATCCCACCCCACCCAATGACACCGTACCTTGACAATTAGCGCGCTGCTATTCAGCCTCAGCTGGAACATCTTCTTCAGCTGTCCGCCACGCCAGACGAACGCCTCCGTCTTGGAGTAGCTGCACAGGGTGCCAGAGGAGGTGGTGGCACACACGCCCAGCACGGGACCGCCATGCGCCGGCCGGTCCGCCGACCGCTCGTGCGTCACTGTGCGGAAAGGGATGGGATGAGCGCGACGGTTCAGAGCTGTTGAATGAATATCACACTTTCCTTTAAAACACAAAATATATAAGCTTGCAAGCGGTCAAATATAAGTGACAAACCAATTGTACACATTCAGGGTGTGTCCGTTTCCAGAAAAAACGGTCTTGTAATGGCGAAAAGTGAATCGTTAAAAAAAAAAAACGGCGAGTGACTGTAATGGCTGACACATAAAAGACTGACCCTGGTTGACGGAGAAGAGGTGTCCGTTCTTCTGTCCGGCCACCACGAAAGGCTCGGGCTCAGTCGGCAGCGCGACGAGACACGTGATCTCGTCAGGCACATACGCCATCAGGTGGAACCTGGCGAGCGGTCAGGTCAGGTCCGGTCACAGGTGACAGTAGGTCATGGCCTGACCCGTCAGTCAGGTCACGTGACTGCTGTTTCCATTTACCGAAGACCGTCCCTGTATGTATGTAGTTTCAAGTCCCAAGCGTCAAAAAGTGGCTAGAATCCCGACTGAATGGTACAAGTTCCGTTCCGCACACGCCTCGATAGGATCGTGTCACCTCCCTTGCGATGAATCACATATTTGAATCATATTTATGCCAATGAAACAGGCGCGGATGAAGTAACCAAGTGGTTAGGGCCCGTGCTACCGAAAAAGTTCCTAAGTACAGAAGCCGCTCTATCAGATGACACTAATGAAAACTAGAGACCTTTAGTAAATAGTAAGCACTAATGACCCACCTGAAGGCCAGCAAGTCCACCTTGTAGATGGCGCCCTGCGCAGTGCCGATGAGCAGTTTCTCTCCATCTGAGTCGAAGGTCAGTACGAGCGCCTGCAGGCTGCGGGTGTCGTTGTCATCTGGGTTCACCGCCAGAAGACGGTGCTTCGTGCTGAAAAAGAATACATCGCATGTCAGCAACCAGTAAACGCAGAGGACCAACCTGGGCATGCGGCGGAAGCTTAAATGGCTCGCTTAGCAACTGATATTTAAGATAAATTGCAAAAAAAAACATCCCAAGTACAAGAGCCACCACCTCCTCTGTTCTTTACTGAATAGTATACAGCAGAGTAGACGACTCGCAACAGCAGGGGAAAGCCACACCGACCCCCTGCCCCCCCCCCCAATTAGTCCCCACCAGTCCGCAACAAAGAAGATCTAAGCTCAGAGCATGCCATTTGTAGTTTGCACACATACAGTACATAAATAGATTGATCATCTACAGGCTTGTCTCGCCGAGTCTCCAACAAATCATTAACCTAGGCAGTATAGCTTCACGGCTGATCTGTGCCACATTGCGGCAAATAGGCACAAACCGAGGTTAATCCTCACAGAACGCAGTAAATTCGCCCAGATAACGAAAAATCTCCACATACCGCGGTAAACCGTTACAGACCATGCTAAACTTTTCCAGACCATGATGAACACTCGCAGACCACGGTAAACCCGAGGGAGATCACGGCTAGCACCTAAGTGCGAGCCGAGGTAAGTTATACAGATCACGGCAAGCCCCACAGATCTCGATAAATCCGCAAATATTGCGGCAAACCGTCACATACCCCGGTATAAGCCCAGTGACCGCGATAACACCCCACAGACCGCAGTAAGCCCTCAGTGACCACGTTATACTCTGCAGACCCCAGTGAATCCGGAAAAACGCAGTAAATCCTCACAGAATACGGTGTTAAGCACACACTTCAGCACTTCACATGCCGCGGTAAATTAGCATAAAACCCCTTTAAGTCGCACAGACCGCAGTAAACCTTCACAGATCCCGGTAGAGCCTAACAGACCGCAGTAAAGCCTCACTATCCGCGATAGGGCCTCGCAGACAGCGGAAAACCTCATAGATCCCGATAAATGCGCAAAAAACGCGTTAACCCCTCACAGACCATGGTAAACCTCACAGACCACGGTAGATGAGCACATACCACGGTAAAACTGAAGAGATCACGGAAAACCTTCACTAACCGCGGAAAACCCTCACTGACCGCGGAATACCCTCACAGGCCACGGTAAGCAAGTACGCTCCGCGGTTAATCCCACTGACCTCGGTAATAAGCAGAGACAGTAGAAAGTACGCAGAGATTATGGAAATTTCGAGCTGGCTAAGCAATGAGCACTGAGCACTCCAGTGTCAGGATCTCGCTGGAATTGAGATACCTACTTTACGGTGTGACATCCATCACTAAAATTTTCTAAGGTCAAAATTGTGGTCGAGTCCACTATGTCATGTCAGATTCAGTTAAACCAGTGACCAAAGGCATGATGCATGTAGCTGATAAGATAATAAAATGTTGGACTTAGTCTGGAAATGATATCTGGCAGTGCAGCTATATCACCACACCCACCTGAGCGCAAAGCTGGCCGCCACAGAGTCTACACATTTGGTTTGTGTGCCTTTTCCCCTGGCCAGCCGGCCAGAGAGACGGCCCACTGTATCTGTCAGCTTCTGTGGCGTGCCAAACTTGGTCCCACCGATGGTGCTGACCATTGACGGCATGGTGCCGACTTGCCTGCAGGAAAACAGACAGCAAACCAGAGTGTCAGCATTGTCAGCTAGAAACTATTTTTATCACTCAGCTCTCAGGCTAGTTTTACCATCAGAAAAATCACAGACTGCTGATTATTGTGCCTAGGCCCACTCCAAACCTTTGAAACCCACAAAAAAGAAATTAGTAAATATCACAATTGGCAACCAGGACTAATTGTCTGACTTGGATAAAAACCAAGCCATATGGTCAGCCGTCAGGAACAATAAATCAACATAGAAAATAAATAGTTGATTGAAAGTTGGCATAACCAAAGAATCAAGGATGTAAAAGATGTTATTGATTAGGATTGACATGATATATTAACTAATTGCCATTATATTTGTGGTAGCTTTTACTTTTAAGATTTTAAGGAATAAAATGAAGTGAACTGCGCACCTTGCACTGCATAGTGTGAAAAGGTGTTATTTATTTGTGGTACAGAGTACAATCATAACAGGAAACGTGCAACAATAATTCATTGGAGCTTGAGCTTGAGCCTTGAACTTGAAGCCTCTAGACACTTATTTTTATCCATAAAAATTAGCATTTGAACCAGAAGCTTTCGGTTGAGCAAAAGAAAACGGAATTCAAAACTGAAAAAAGCCAACAAGGAATTCATTACCTACCACCAAAACCATACAAAGATCAGCAGGAGTTAGGTAGGGTAGTATATTTATTGCATTAAAAATAAAGCCGCGTAGACGCGAGCGTTTTGCTCAGAGCTTTTGATTTGAACAATTTGAACCAAATGGGCAAATGTTTGTTTACAATTTGTTCAAATATCAAAAATCCTTCAAGAGGTGAAATAAAATAAAACAATTATTTATTTAGTTTGTGTCAGATATTGATTAAATGTGTCATTTAGTCATTAAATGCTTGTAAAATACAATAAAACACAGTAAGAATAAGCTTTTACCAAAGCATCTCAAAGATTGAATGCCAGGTCCACCTTGCGCGACCTCATGTTTTGTAAAGTGTCCTTCAAAAAGCAAATATGGGAGCACTCTATAAAGAGAGCGAATACTGCGCAACAATGACGATTGTTTGTGTTCAGAATAGTTTTTTAATTTGCGAACGCTTTTACAGAGATGATAGTTGTTTTAAATTAATTCTTTTTAAGCTATGTTAAGTGACATTTAAGAGTCCTTCAAAATAAATAGGGTCCACCTAGTGCTATTTAATAAAAAAATTTTCCTTTTGTTCACTATCAACGCAACTTTAATTTTCTTTTACTTTGTTGTGTGTTTCTTAACAGGACTTTCGAGAATAATTAAACACTTCTTATAACAACATTCAACGATGTTTGATTGATCGAGTGTTGATTGAGAAGTGCTATAATTCATTGTTCACATTATTTACCTAAGAAATCGTTTTCCTGCTTTTTGCATCAATTGTGGTTTCGGCGTAACCAGAGCAGATTCATAGGCGCTACAGCCAAGGTATACAGAATTGCATTTTGGTCATCTTGTTAATTTGCGATGAGGGTAAAGTGCAAAGTCGCATGAATTCTCCAGACTGAGACCATTGCCATGCCAGGTCAAAGCGAAATCGCCCTTTTGCACCCCAGGCTCAAAATTTAATAACAACCACACCATCATATCGTCACAAACCATATATCAACCTATAAATTGTGCATATGAGTAATAAATGCAAAAAATAGCTACCGACACCACAAGCAGAAATAGCACAATATAAATTATAAAAACCAGTGTCTTTTTGTAACTTTTGGCAATGTTTAGAATTTTAAACAGAAGGTTATTCCATTAAAAATATAATAACCAGATTGAACCTAGCATAGTGGGTGCATCTTCCCATGATCATCCCATGTGTTCCTTTTACAAAAGATGTTGGAAATTTGTGATCAACTTATTCATGGAATGTGGTTGGTCAGTATTAGTAAGAAGGTATTGGTGTTAGGCTTTGAAAGTTGAAAGGGAAACAAATAATGCTAGGTAATTTACTTGTTTTTTCAGGTTGCAGCCCTGTGTCCAGCCTGTGAAGCCATGTCAACCATCGGCAGTGCCGGCGAGGGGGGTCAGCAGGTGCTGGATGTGCCACCACACTACTTCCCCGGTGCATGTTTTGTCTGCAAGGCCACGCCTCCAGCTGGGGGCAGCCTCAGTCGCTGTGCCAACTGCCGCATGATCAAGTATTGCAGCAAGGAGCACCAGAAAATGGACTGGCCAGTGCACAAAACTATATGCAAGAAGTGAGTGAAATGCTGCTGCTGGTTTGAGAAATTATGCTTTTATTGTACTCTGTGACTTGCCCTTTTCAATTTGATCTGTGATGATTTTGTCAGTGATAAAATCATCCAGTTTTTGAGCCTGCAGTGTATTTCTTATGTACCTAATGCTTTCCCTCCTATTAGAAATGCTGCTTAGTGACAGATAGGTTTAAAATTTGTTCACATCTAAGTTTGCATAATTTGCATTTTATCCCTATGCCACAAGCATTAGGCCTAGTACCTTATCATGGAATAGTATGCTATTATGGATGAAAAGAAATTTCTTGTATTTAGCCATTAGCATGACTAAATACAAGAAATGTCTTTGCAGTGTCACATGGGTGACACTGTAAAGAGAAGGTCAGTGTCACGGCCTGGTAATGCAACTATTCATAGCTTCACCTCCCTCAGCAAACTGCTGCTGAGTGCTGACCCCTCTTCGTCCTTTGGCAGACTCCGTAACGACGACGGCAGCTCTGTGCTGGCCGACGGCGCCGGAATTATCGACAGCGCCGCCTGGCTGCGCCACCGCGCCAGTCAGACGCTGGCACTGCGCCTGATGCTCGGCCGCGAGCTGCGACAGCACGAGAAGGAGATGCTCTTCTTCCCGCCCGTGTGCGAGGTGTGTCACAAGTTCCGGCCGGCCGAGCAGCTGGAGTGCGAGCGCTGCCACTCGGCCTTCTACTGCGACCAGGTGCACGCGAAGCAGGACGCCGATCGCCACGAGCGCTGGTGCGAACAGCTGCGCCTGGCGCTGGCCTGCGACAGATACGAGGCGCTCAACGGTCTGGCCGACCCTCCGATCCTGCCAGACGTGGACGAAACGTTCCAGGACCTCCCCGAGGACATTGTCTCGATGCTGAGCAGCCAGATCCTCGCCGAGAAGGAGTCGGTGCCCGAGGGGGCGTATGTGGACCCGGTGCTGATCGCCTTCCTGACGGAGCGGCTCAGTTTCCCGCTGACGGTGCTGTACGCGCTGCTGAAGGCGCCCGGCGAGCGGCCGGTGGGCGAGCGCGAGTCGCTGACGGTGCACGTGGTGGGCGCCCAGATGCTGGTCGAGTGTCTGGGCATCATCAAGTGGGAGTACCTGGTGCACCGTCTGCCGCGGCTGCGCGCCATCCGGCTGGTGTTCGTCGGTCCGGAGCTGTTCCGCGGCTGCGGGGACGACATGGCCGGCGCCGTGGAGGACTCGGGCGCCACGCGCTGCGCCGACTGCAGCCGTCGGCAGCGCTCGGTGGTGCACGAGCTGCGACCGGTCACCTACCACGAGTACTGCCGCGGACAGCACTGGACGCGGCCAGACGCCGTGGTCGCCTTCAACTCGGGCATCCACGAGTTCGCCGAGCGCGACGAGGACACGTGGCGCGAGTCGCTGCCGTTCCTCGTGCGCCACGAGCGTGTGCCGCTTATCCTGACCGCCTACACGCGCACCGAGCTGCGGAAGGACCTGGACGAGCTGGAGAAGGCCGTGCCGAGCCTGACCGTGCTGCTTCCGGCGGCCAAAAACCCGTTCGGCAGCACCAAGCCGGTGCGCGATATGTGTCGCGAGGACGATTGTGACGTGTTCTTCCTGAATCAGTTCGTGACAGTTCTAGAAGGAGACGGAACCGGAGACGCCTCGCCCTGCCGGTGAGGTCTGAATCTGGGGGCGGTTTCTCTGTGGAGGGAGGGGGCCGCTGTCGCCTGTCGATGTGATGAACCTTTGATGTATTACGGATAGGCTGGATACGTGTAACTGTAGGCGGCACAAAATGATCGATGGATAAAACTGTGGACTGTGTTATAGTCCGCCTCGAGTGGTTTCTTTGACCATCAGGTAACTGTCAATTATTTGTACCGGTAGGGCTGGCCCCGAAAAATGTAATGAGTTGCCAAGCGGTACCTTTTTCCGCCATTTTTTACCGTTTGCGATTGGTGTCATTGCTAGTGTCCTCAGCCGAGTTCGTAGAATATGTGTCGCTGATGTGAACAAGTTGTTATTTGTAAACTGTAGGACAGAAATGTGCACAACTGGTGATGGCTCATGTGTCACTTCAGTGTTGAGGTTCGAAGGCTATCTGTATGTCTGCTATACCGCCCACCATGCAAGCAATTGTTTCCTTTCAATGGTCTAAGTGTGACATCCATTCGATGACCGTGTACCTGCCTGCTCTATGTCAGCTCCCCAGCCCGAGACGCGCTGCCGCAGATGGTCGCGGTGTTCCCTTCCCGGTTCGGCTGAATGTTTCCCTGATGTTTGTGACGAGCGCCACCAGGCGTCAGCCCAGCCCAGCGTCCTAAGGTGTGTCCCGGCCCCTCGGACTTGGTTCGCTACCCACTTCACAGATGGCGCTGATGTGGGTCAAGTCTGGGTGGTCTTGGTCCGTAGCTGCACTCATGCACTCTCGACGCTTCCATGCTAACGTTTGTTGATGCAGATGTGTGGTGGCCAACTACGTCTGAATTCTTGAGCCTGAATCGACTCTGATCTCTTTTACAAACATCTCGCTTGAGATGGCAACAGCCGCAATCCCGTGTGGGTACTTGTTGCAGTGTTTTTTGCGTCTGTGCTTTGTAAGTGTCGGAAGTATTTTGTCGAACCCTAGAGGTGTGTTTAAATCAGACGTGAAATGCTTCGTTGTTTGGTGTTATCTGAGAATGAGCAAGCTCAGTGACGAAAAATTTAACCCTCGCGTATGTGCGGCGTTTGCCAGCTTCTAACGTATAGGGGGTGGGGGGGGGGGGGTCGGTTGGACCCCCCTTGCCGTTTGGCCCCTGATCGAGCTAGAGCTTCGCGAAAAAAAAACGAGCGTGCTGCCCGTCACGAGACGAAACCGATGATACCCAATTTTAAGGTCATAGGTCATTGGTTGACCTTCCAGGTCAGGTCAATGACCCAAAAATCGGGAAAATCGGTACCTGTTAGAAAGTCGTAAAGTGTGGCTGCCGCGGGGTTTTTCGGGGTGCTGATTACGAATATCGTGTTAATTTTGATCACAGATGATGTCTTTAACCCGCGCCCTGCTGGGGGGGGGTGTTTGAACACCCCCCTTGTGGTTTTTCGCGAATATCTCAAAACGGCGGCGCTCCGCGCCGCCGTTTTTGGTACACCTAATCATACATCAATTCTACACATGTTGTGAAAATTTCAGACCAAGGTCATTCAAGGTCAGGTCACCAGGTCACTTGAAGTGACCTCACCTCATAAAAAGTTTCAATGTCTGTCATAGCTACACCGAGTGACCGATCGCTTTGAAACTTTCAGCGATTGCTAAGAGCAATAGCATGTACAAAATGTATATCTCAGAATTTTGATATCGATGACCTAAGGTCAGGTCAATTTTGCGACCTCCCCATTATAAGTCAATGGGAGAAAATTGAAATGCGCCTCTTTTGGACGAAAGATATTATAAACACTCCCAAACACTGCATTACAAGTGGTTTAGACACACTGAACATGAAAATGGTGTCCGTGACCCCTGTTTAGGGTAAGGTGCCTAATTAGCGACCCTTTCCGATTTGCGACCTACCTCCCTACAGAAAAACTAGTAGGAGAAAACGGGGTAAAAACATCGTCAAAACCTCAGCCATACTTTGGTTATCAAATTAAATTATTTTCCGGTCGTCGATGTTTCTGGTGGGACGTTTCAGATGCGTTTAAATAAAAATGACGAGTTTCTTATCCAAAACGTATGTGTTTGGGCCCTCTCTGATTAAAAGCGATGCATATTAGGATGATGCACCTTTTTTATTCTGAATCGACATTCCTTTTTCAATTGATTGCCGTTTTCCCATAGTGAATCGCTCAACTGTGCACAGCATGGCGGTTAAAAATGTGTCGCAACTCATATTTCCTATTTGCGCCTGACATGGTCGCAAATAGCTCAAGAATGGAAAGAAAGGGGAAAAGAGAGAAATGAAAATGAGGTGTTGCTGAAGCTTGCAATGTGTGGCAGGGGATGCCAAATGTCGTCACCGACTGCAGGGGTGCCGAATTCAGCGCGGACCTCGAATATCATACGAGATAGCCCGCAAAATTTGGGTTTCCGCCTTCTTTTCGCCTTCGGTGCATCGCGTGATCAGTTTTTACTTACGTAAATGTGTTGGATAAACGTTCCTGTTCGAGTGATTGAGTGCTTTGCGTAAAGGTTACCTTTTTGAGATCATATTTCATCTTTTCAGGCGTCGCATTTTTTGTCATTTTTAATATGGGGAAACCCATAGACTTATTAGCGACCCTCCCCGGTCGCTAATCGGGAAGAGTTCCCTATTAGCGTTTTTTGCAATGGTTTGCCAAAATACTCACTACAAATAAGTTAGTGAATATTGGGGCAGAAAATGACTATATTTTAATAGAAAAATGAACGATCTCTCCGAAAATCAAGCCCGTAATACAGTGGCACCCACAGAGCGTGAGCAATGACGGTTCAAATTAAGGGGGTCGCTAATTAGGCACCTTACCCTATGCCCTGAGGTCATCTTAGGTCACGAATGGTATCTAACAGTTTTTCGCAAATAACTTTTGATAGAGTTATGCTAGAGCGATGAAAACGCCTTAGATGTGTTCAGCTCGACGATACGGATCGACTGATATGCAACATGACCCTTTCCGGTCAGGTCATGACCTTGACCTGAGGTCAAATTTTCAAGTTGACCTTTCAAGGTCAAGTTATAGTTCATTCGATGCGTCTTGACGAGAGGAACACGATGCGGCTAAAAGTAAGCTCGAACAAGGCTTGGGTCAAAAGTTATTGCAGAAAAACTGTTTCCGAAAAAAATCGGCTATTTTTGCAGTTTTTGCCCCCTGGCCCTGCAGGCAAAACCGTTGACGTTAGGTCAAATCTGAGAAAATTACTCAAAAAGGGCGTTAATAGGGCTATCGAATGCGCTTTTCCGCGGCGCTGTAGCTCTATTGGTTCCCGAGTTATGCGTTGGCTTCTTGGAAATTGTCGACATTCGACCTGGAAATCGGCGAAATTTTGCCTTCAATGACCTCTGGTGACCTGACCTTTGACCTGACCAAAAAATTGACCAAAGTGATTTCCTCATTATTTTTGACGCTCTTTCGAACGCCGCCTTCCGCGTATCGCTACGTGGCCCAGGAGCCGAGTTAGAAGGGGGGTGTTCAAACACCCCCCCCAGCAGGGCGTGGAAATCCAGGACCCCCAGCCGGGCGCGGGTTAAGCATTTAAAGGAAAAGGGCCACCTTTAACATGGGGATTGAAACTGAGATAGCCATCTTGTAGCCCGTGTCCGAAAACCAATCTGTCTTCCTCCTTACGGCCGATTTCGGCCTCCATTCGTAGTTATCGGCAATTTTAAAAGAAAATACGCCAGGAATGCGTCCTTATCCCAGGAATGCGTTCTTATCCGACAATACAGCCACCCGCGGCGAGGCTTTGGTTTTTTACCAATCAGCTCCAACCAGCTCAGCTTTAACCAATCAGCTTATCTGACGCAATCCGACGAGTCTGTCTTCTGAACGCTGATTGGCTTGAGTGTGACGTCATCGCTATGCCATCATACAGTAGGTGCCGTAAAGAGTACCAATATGTTAAATAGTTTTAAATACTTTTTCGCGAATTGTGCACTTCTGGCACCAGTTTTAAAAAGAAAATGAAAAATAATCATGTCAAAATGAAAAACAACGATATCTTCATATTTCACGAAGGTGGCCCTTTTCCTTTAACCCTATTCCTGGCGGGGGGGGGGCCTCAGGAGCCCCCCCCCCCTGAGGTTTTTTGGTTATATCTCCCAAACGCGTTGAGCTAGGAAGCTCAAATTTTCTGACTTTTCCTAAAAGGCTTCTACGCAACATGTCTGAAAATTTTGAGTTGATCTGACCTCAGGTCAGGTCACCAGAGGCGGTTTGGTGACGCTACCTCAGAAAAGTTTGCAATCACGCCAGAGCTAGAGTTTTTGACCGATCAATTTCTTCTCTTCAGGGTTTAGTTAGGGTACCAGTATGTGCAATTTGTATATCTCGGAATTTTGATATCGGTGACCTAAGGTCAGGTCAATTTCGCGACCTCCCCATTATAAGTCAATGGGGGAAAAATCAACTCCCTGTTTTTACCACTAAAACGGGTCGGAATGGCCCCATATACCATACATGACTTCATATACGATGAACCTTCACTGCCTTGAGGTCTGTTTTGCTGTTGGGCAGCTGTGAGGTCATGTGACGTCATCAAAGGTCACCAAAGGTTTTTGGCCAATAACTCCGTACAGGAACAAGATACAGACGCGTGGATGGTCTCATTGTGTTCAGCTCGTCAAGACGCATCGAATGATATACATGATGACCTCGAGGTCACGTGACCTGAGGTCAACCTTTGACCTTGACCTTTCGAGGTCAACATATATATCATTCGATGCGGATTGACGAGAGGATCACGATGGTGCCCTTAGTTTGTTCCTATCTTGACTAATTCGAAAGCTATTCGAGAAAAACTCTCTCCATATCTAGTGCCGCCATTTTGACTTTTTCGACCCCTGTGACGTCATCTTTGACCTGACCTGAAAATGACCTTTGTAAAAATTGTAGATCTTGGCCGTGCGTATCCGATGCCGTTTACCGCTTGTCGCTATCTTGCTTCGTTCTCGAGATCTCAGGGGGGGGCCGAATCGGCCCCCCCCGCCAGTTTCTTGTCCCGGCGGAGCCCGCCAGGAATAGGGTTAAACCACGTCTGGTCAGGTTAGAATAGGTCAACCAGTAGGGGTCGTGACGGGTATTCGTAGTAGGTGTCAACAGCCTCTGACAGCTTCGTAACATGTTACGAAGGCACCAAAACTACTTCGTAAATGTTCAAATGGTTTCTAAATTCGAATTCAGCTCCAAAAACTAGCCTAGAAACATGTTAAACTCGAAAAAGTGAACCGAGGTCACCGAAGGTCAATGACCTGACCTGACCTTTAGGTGATCTTGACATCCACCCTATGCATGGGAGCAACATCGAATCACACTCTCAGCAGGGTGTGAAAATTCAGCAGCCCTAACGTTAAAGATTAAGTTAAAAGTTAAAGTTAGAGTTAACCCTCGCATGTGTGCGGCGTTTCCCAGCTTCTAATGTGTAGGAGGGGGGGGGGGGGGTCGGTTGGACCCCCCTTGCCGTTTGGCCCCTGATCGAGCTAGAGCTTCGCAGAAAAAAACGAGCGTGCTGCCCGTCACGAGAGGAAGCCGATGATACCCAATTTTAAGGTCCTAGGTCATTGGTTGACATTCCAGGTCAGGTCAATGACCCAAAGTCGGAAAAATCGGGATCTGTTAGAAAGTCGTAAAGTGTGGCTGCTAAGGGGTTTATCGGGGTGCTGATCACGTATATCGTGTTAGTTTTGATCACAGATGATGTCTTTAAGCATTTAGACCAGGTCGGGTCAGGTCAGGTCAGGTCAACCAGTAGGCGTCGTGATGGGTTGGGTATTCGTAGTACGTGTCAACCACCTCTGACAGCTTCATAACATGTTACGAAGTCACCAAAGCTTTTTCGTAAATGTTCAAATGGTTGCTAAATTCGAAGTTAGCTCCAAAAACTAGCCTAGAAATATGTAAAACTCGAAAAAGTGAACCGAGGTCACCAAAGGTCATAAGTTATTGACTTGACCTGACCTCCAGGTGACCTTGACACCCACCCTAATGCATGGGAGCAACATCAAATCACATGTTTGAACGTTTGAAACGACGAAAAGCTTGCAAACGCGCAGCTAATGCGAGCCGACATACGCGGAATCGCGATTCCGGCCAAACATGGTCTCGGGAAAGAGGTCACAGGTCAAAGGTCATTTGAGTCAGGGTCATGAAATTTTCAGGGTAGGTGTAAAATTGATCAAATCGAGGTTATACTGATAGTTTCGTTGCGATCGCCCGCTTTTTACGCGAGTTATTCGCGAAAAACCATGGGGGGGGGGTCCGTCCGACCCCCGTACACATGCGAGGGTTAAAATTAAAGTGCGTTAAAGGTAAACTCAAATTATGATTCAATCGACACATCTCGACGGGAGATACACGATGCTGGTGTAAGACCAATGTCATGCAAGCTTTGTGCCAAAAGTTATTGGTGAAAAACTTTGTACTAACAAATGACGGTTTTTGTCTCCTAGGTATAGGCTTACCGAATTATTTTTTTATGAAAATCCTAGATAGTCCTATATAATCCTAGATAATCCTAGATAGCGGAAGACTTTAACCCTCGCCGGACCTATTGGTTTTTTACATACGCGCCGGCCGAGGGGGGGGGGCGGGTACGACCCCCCCCTCGCCGTTTCGCCCCTGGTGGAGCTAGCGCGTCGCGGAAAAAACGAGCGTGTGCGCCGTTACGAGACGCAGAGATTGGTACCCGATTTTAAGGTCCTAGGTCAACCGGTGACCTCTGAGGTCAGGTCAAGTGCCCCAAGGTACGGTTCAGTTTTTAGTGAATAACTTCGCAAAAAACGGCCGCAGAGCGCCGATTTTGGCAGCATCGTGTTCGCCTCGCTCAGGCGCGTCGAATGATATACTTTTTGTCCGGGTCAGGTCAACTTGGGGTGTTGACCTCAGGTCAAGGTCAGGTCAGCACCCCCAGGTCACGAAGTTGGTCGAAAGAGGTCATGTCGCATATCATTCGATTCGGCAGGTCTTCCTTAGTCCATTGGTGGCTTTCCCGACTCGCTAGCTCAATTTGATCAAGAGTTATTGACGAAAAACTAATATGACCTTGATGACGTCATAAATGACGTCACGCAAGGTCAACATTGCAAAAGTGACGCATCTAACCTTGCAAGGAGTGCATCAAATCACGATTCTGTGTGCTTGAGATAGTTGAAGATCGTTCCCGGCGCCAGAATAGCAGTTTGAATTTTTCCCCATTGACTTATAATGGTGAGGTCACGAAAATGACCTGACCTCATATGACCTTTAGGAAAAATCCGAGATATACAAGTTGTGGGACTCATAATGGATACTAGATCCTGAAAGTTTCATTTCCCTGTGACATCTCTTCTGGCAGTGAGGGCGTTGCGAAGTTGCGACATCTGAAGACCGTGCAGAGGTTCACTTATGACGTCATAGGTCAGTGACCTGACCTGACCCAAAAATGCGGTTGGTGTCAAAAGATCCGGCTTGGATCAAAGGTCAGGTATGCCAAGTTTCAGCTCGCTATCGCCAGCGTGTTCGGAGCTATCGCGAAAAAACCCTATGGGGGGGCGGCACCCGCCCCCCCCCCTCGGCCGGCGAGGGTTAACCCGGCGGCCGCTGGGCCTTCGCGTCACCCGCCGGCCGCCGCTGGGGGGGGGGGGGGCATATAGTTGCCCCCCCCTTTACTTCTGCGACGATACGATATCGCCGCAACGCGAAGAGATAGAGAAACGAAACTTTGCACACATCTTCCTGAATACCTAGCCGAGGTTGTGTTCAACTTTGGTGTCAATCCAATTTTGAAATGACGTCACAGTGACATCAGAAGTCAATTTATAGATTTGTGACTCTCAGTTTCTTTAGGATATATATCCGAGATATGAGAGCGAATATAAAGGACCGATTATTTGTCAGAAACTAGTTTTAAGTGTAGGTACTTAGATGTTTTAGGACGACAGCAGGTGCTGTTTAGTTCATTTACAGTTGAGTTTCATGCCCAGCGACATCAGAAACGGTCCATATCGGAAAACGACAAAATTTTATGACGTCACTGCGACGTCATCTTATAAGCTACAACCACCAAACTTTCCTCAAACTTTGCCGCCTAGGTATTCATTTGAAGCTATTCAAGTTTCACGTTCGTAGCTCATTAGGTTTCGGATATATTCTACAAGACGTAAAAGGGGCAACTTTATGCCCCCCCCCCCCCCCAGCGGCTGATGGGTTAAAAAGAGACAGACCTACGAATGTTTTTTTTTGTGACGTTTTAGCTTAAGTAGTCCATGAGCTATGAGCTGATTTATTCAAGAAGCTAGTGTGAAAGTCGGAAAAAATCGCTTTTAGTTAGAGGGGACGTAAAACGTCTCCCCCCTCGCTAAGATGTGCTACAATCGGCACTTCCGCCCTGGCTGGCTGATTAACGTTCAGATCAGGTGTCCTTCGCGTGCATTTCTTTTAAATTATATGAATAGCGCCACTCACTTGACCACATTCTAAGAAAGTAGGTAGGTATATAGATTCAGCGTTTTTAATGGAGCGGGCTAGTGCACGACTCGTCACTGCCATAAGTCACACTAGTGCCCTCCACTGCTATGTAAACATTGTATCCTGCCAGTCTATGCACGCCACGTGCTACGTGCTGCTACACGTGTTTCGTAGAACTCTCAAAACTCACCTCCCCTCAGTCATCCCTCTCATTAGTCACATCGTGCAGTTCTTACAAAGAGCGTCAGCCCCGTTTTGTCGTGATCTCGGTCCTCGGGCGTCCCGCTCTCTGGCCAGGAGTGGTCAACACAGCGCGCCCTTGGACCCTGGACCCGGTGCGGACCGCAGCGCGGCGGTGGCGTGCCGCGGCGCGCGCGCTGCTCTGAGTCAGTGCCGCTGGCAGGAGCGATCGGAGGGAGACGGCCGCGCCGTGTGACGTCCTTTCGTCGCAGCTGAAGGCCCAGTTCTAGATCAACAGTCCGTCAGTCTTCGACAGCTGAGCTGCTACGGCGCACGGCTGTCCGCGTGGAGGCGCAGGAGGATCCCGGCGGCACGGTTCGCTCGTTAGTCGTTACCTAATCCTGGAGTGGTCAGTCTGTCTCAGACAGCTGATCGAGTCTCAGTGTTCGATCGGCAGCTGAAGAGAGCGGGTCCTGGCATCGCGGAGCTCCAAAATAGCTTCCAAGACGTTCGACGTGTTCATACTGTCACATCGCAGAACCAGGCCCAACTCTCACCCGTCATGGCCGAGGTGATTCGCGAAGAGCAGGAGCCGCGCCGCGAGGGTCAGACGATTCTCCCGGCTGACCCCGAGGTCCAGGAGTGCAAGAGGATTCTCATCGACGGCAGCAGTGCTCCGCAGAAGATCCGGCTGGTCGAGGGCACCACTGTGCGCCGCCTGGGCCGTCAGGAGACCGGCTGGCACGCGCTCTTCCAGGGCGCTGACGGCGCCAGCCTGCTGCAGTACTCGCTGGTGATGGACTCGAAGCAGGAGCTGACGCCGAACATGGTGCAGCTGGCGCTGGAGGCGCTGCAGAGGTCAGTGGAGGGCTTAGGTTCGGCGGAGCAGGAGGAGAAAGAGGGAGGTTTGCTCTTGGGCGCTGAATAAAGGATGGGTGGGGGGGGGGGAGCATCTACAGTTACCATTTGGCAGTCATGTAACAGTGACTGGTTTACATTGTTTGTTTGTTTGTTTGTTTGTTTGTTTTTCTTTTACCGATAGTCTACCAAGAGACCAAATATTTTATATTGCTTATAATTCTTTTTTTAGTCTTTTTCTTAGCTTCTTTGTATGCCGGGTAAGACAGGGCCGTCCAGGGAAGGTGGAGGGAAGGACCCGGAAGTAATGGTTGGGCCTGCTTCCCGGGCCCGCCGACTAAAGCACATGCCTAAAGGAGCCATTCTATGGCGCAATATTTGGGGTGATGTGATGGACTGTGGTGCAATGCCGATTGCCAAACCACAAAAAAACTGCGCATTGCATGTCGCACATTGCCGACAGTAAACATGTCCCATGGGTGCGTGAATATTAATCTATTTCGTATTTATATTATTTCGTATTTATTTATTTATTTCGTAATGCATGTTCAAAATGACCGCCATTCTCTATAGACTGTGCTCCTGGCTGATTATTAGTTTCACCTTTCAGCCCTGCAAAAAAAAACCTCAAACGGTAGATCATCATTGTTGCCAACCGTCGCATTTAGGCCCTGATAGCATGATAAGCTAGAGCCTGTTAATCCAGGAATCACTCTTTTCTAATTAATGTAAACCGGGTAGTGACAAATGAAGCTCTCTTATCTATCTTATTATTGATAGGTAGGTCAAACGGTCACTATAGTAGGTGGTATTACGTATAAATTTAAATAAGAGTAAAAAAGGTAGGTCCTGTCATTGCGTATTGGATAAATTAATTACTATGTCGCATAACTGAACCCCTTACAATAAGCTTTGATCGGCAAGAGCGGGTTACATTTTAACACTGACACACTACAGAGCCTAGACTTGCGTCATACCCTCTTCAAATTGACGTAAGGACCACACATCATGGCGGCTGTTTGAAGAAAGGTCCCGGTCTGCGCCAAACAGAAGGTTTCGACGAATAAACTGTCGCAGTCTGCTGACAGCCCAAAACTACCAACAGCGTAGACACTAATGCTGTTTATTAACCCGCGCACCGACGGGGGTCTGCGCCAACTTCGCACCGACGGGGGGGGGGGGGGCGGATGACCGCCCCCCCCCCTGAGATCTCGAGAACGAAGCAAGATAGCGACAAGCGGTAAACGGCATCGGATACGCACGGCCAAGATCTACAATTTTTACTAAGGTCATTTTCAGGTCAGGTCAAAGATGACGTCACAGGGGTCGAAAAAGTCAAAATGGCGGCGCTAGATATGGAGAGAGTTTTTCTCGAATAACTTTCGAATTAGTCAAGATAGAAACAAACTAAGGGCATCATCGTGATCCTCTCGTCAATCTGCATCGAATGATATATATATGTTGACCTCGAAAGGTCAAGGTCAAAGGTTGACCTCAGGTCACGTGACCTTGAGGTCATCATGTATATCATTCGATGCGTCTTGATGAGCTGAACACAATGAGACCATCCACGCGACTGTATCTTGTTCCTGTACGGAGTTATTGGCCAAAAACCTTTGGTGACCTTTGATGACGTCACATGACCTTACAGCTGCCCAACAGCAAAACAGGCCTCAAGGTAGTGAAGGTTGATCGTATATGAAGTCATGTATGGTATATGGGGCCATTCCGACCCGTTTTAGTGGTAAAAACAGGGAGTTGATTTTTCCCCCATTGACTTATAATGGGGAGGTCGCGAAATTGACCTGACCTTAGGTCACCGATATCAAAATTCCGAGATAAACAAATTGTAGCTACTAATGACCTAATAATATCCTGCGACTTTCAAAGGCCTCAGACATCTACTGTAGCTCTGGCACGGTGACAAAGTTGCAAAAAAGTGACTTGAGGTTGGGTCATTCAAAGTGACCTGGTGACCTGACCTTAAAAGGTAGGAGGTTCAAACTTGCACACCATGTGTAAAATTGATGAGGTTATAGTCATACCAAATTTCGCGGCGCTACGCGCCACGGTTTTCCCGCTATTCGCGAAAAACCTCAGGGGGGGCGGATATCCGCCCCCCCGTCGGTGCGCGGGTTAAAATTGCGCACCGGATCGATCCTTTCGAACGACTCTTTACATGGCGCAGATAGAGCGCAAAAAAACAGGCAACTCTGCTTAGCCATGGGCGCAGTCATGCTGTGTAAAACCTAATCTGTGTGGACTGGACGCATACTGGGTTTTTAGGCCGCTGTGTATCTTACAAAAGGTTCCGGGGTAAAAACAAATGGCAGGGCTCATAGTTCATTCTGACGCACATGAGAGGAGAGATAAATAATCTTGGCCATTCGGGAACAGAGAGGCATGGCCCACTTGGCGTATTTTTCACGTTCTGCCCTCCTGAGATTCTGAAGACGGTGTTTTGATTTCCAACATTCAAGATATCTCATATGCCGAGACATATGTATATACCTACACAGCGAACCGGATAAAAAACGCCTTGTCGCAGTCTAAATAGGTAAAAAATTAGATAAGAATAGATCCAATGTTTGCCAAGTAACAGGTGCTATGAGTTATTATCTGATTAGACTGTGACCCTGGCTTCCCATACATACAGACTACAGTGTATGATGTAACAGTTATGTCTCTTATTAGTTCATGTGCACTTGTATGCATTGGTCGGTGGCCCCATGTCTCGACTTGTGATAATATATAAACACTTGTCGATCTACATACCTTGTGTCCCTTTCGGACTGTCGGAATGAAGTGAACATCGACCCCATGAACACACGACCTCGACTGATCGATTACTTTAGAACATACAACAATTTAGCGCTTTTATCAGCAACATCTTGATTTGATGCCGTGTTTTATTTTCCCTTTGTTGAAATATTTTCAAACGTTGAGCTCATGCCAACAGACAGAAGCGTGGGCCGACTAAACAGAAACTTTGTCCAAGTAGGGCGCAATTGAATAACTAGGTTATCCGTGGCGTTAAGATGATAGATAACGTTGAGATCAAAGTCTTCGCAGCGATAGGTCGTCATGCGGACGATTGGACCAAACAGAGTACAAGCTGTCAATAGCCATCGATGTAGTAGGGACATAGTGATCTTCGACATAGGTACATCTATGATCTAGCTAAATAAAGTGAAATGCATATTACGAAATATACAGAAATGGATCATTGAGCAATTTATTTTTTAAATGCAGAAGGACACATTGTGTAATGCTGTGTTTTAGCCACTTGCTATGTGGACAAGTTTAGGTCAGGTTACCACGCACACCAATGGGCAAAATCAACAGATAGGTACTCTGAGAGTGTCCTTTGAGATAGGGAAAATCCTGGTCGGCGTAAATATACTCTATAGGATACTCTATAATACTCTATAGGAGGGCAGCCTGGAAACTGCAGGCAGAGGGAATAACTGTCTACAATCAGCAAATTTAGGACCTGATATTTTGAAGGTAAAAGAGAAAAAAATTTGACCACAGCCTTTACGAAAAATGCGATTGTTTGCGACCAGGGCGCCTAACGGCTTCGGAAGATTTCAAAAGGCGTGGACGGCATTGGGAAGATGAAAAATATTATTGTCTGAAATACTAGCTGAGAGTGGCTTGCGCGCTAAGGAAATCAACTTATTATTAAACCATAACGTGACCGTCCATCCGTCCGTCCGTCCATCCGTGCTCACGTCTATGAATATATGTACGAGGACACAAGTAGGCTAACAGTCGCCTTGTAGGACGAACACTCGTTCTGACCCGCTGCTGTCTGTCTCTTCCTCAGGCAGGTGCCGATGTTGAGGACGCGTGTGGAGGACCGGGACGACGGGTCGTACCTCGTCGTCGGACCGTACCCCAGCATCAAATTGGAGGTGCTCAAACCCGGCGGTGACTGGCTCAAACACCACCACAAACTGCTCAACGAGACCAAAATCGAACCCAGCGTCGGACCTCTGTGGAAGGCCTGCTTCATGCTCCGACCGACCAACATCGACGAGCCGCCAGCGCCATTTCACCGCAGCGTCCTGTACTTGTCGCTGTGCCACACCATCACAGACGGCCTCAGTAACGCCATGCTGTGCGGCCGAGTGCTGGAGAACCTCGACTTCCTGATCCGCGAGTCCAAGATCCCCAAACGCGAGCCGGCGCCGTTCTTCCCCAGCGTTGAAGACATGCTGCAGCGCTACATGCCCGACTCGAGACTGTCCCTCTTCACCATGGCAGCCGGAAAATTCCTCTCGAGCCTGTTTGACCGGAGCATGCCGCCGCTGCTGAAGAAGTACGTTCGTCCCCACCAGAGCACCCTGCCCAAGTCGGCCTACTCGACCGGCACGATCGCCGTGACCGTGCCCAACAGCGAGGTGGCGCGTCTGCGAACGCTGTGTCACGCGCACAGCGTGTCTCTGAACGCTGCGCTGTCCGCGGCCGTCTCCTTCGCCAGCGCGCAGCTGGCGGCCACGGCCGGCGCCAGCGACGTGCCCACCCACCTGCCCACCCTGTGGCTGGTGAACGCGCGACGCTACATGCCCGACGCAGACTGGATGTACCTCTCCACAGTGGCCGGCGTGGAGCTCACGGTCAACGTGGAGCACGCGGACCTCTCCGAGTTCTGGAGCGTGGCCGAGGCGCTCGGCAAGGAGCTCCGCACCAAGCTCAACAGTCAGGAGCCGCTGTTCCGGCTGCGCTCCTCGTCGTGGTTCTCACCGTCCGATCGCGGCGGCCTCGGCGGGGCAGAGCTCTCCGGCTGCATCTACAGCATCAACAACCTGGGGCCGCTGGACCGCCTGATGCCACGCACTCGCGACGTGCGTGCCGCCGAGCTGCACCGCGCCGTGCGCGCTCCGCCGGCGCTCACCGACTCTCTGTGCAGCCACTGCTTCCAGACGGTGGGCGGCAGGCTCTGCTACGACCTCAACTATGTGCGCGGCCGCGTGGCCGACGAGGACGCGGAGCGCTTCTCCCGTCTGGTGGTCGAGATCCTCGCCGAGGTCGCGTCGCCCATCGCCGACGACGCCGACCACGACTGGGACCACCTCGGCGGAGCGGCGCGAGCCTGAACGAGACGGAGCACACGTGGGGTTGACGCAGGAGAGGAGGCATGCGCTTGGAGGATGATCAGAGGTTCGAGGAGACGGTCCTAAGATTGAGTTTGGAAGATCGATGATGACGCGTAACGGCTGATGATCTAAAATGGGGGACTGAAAAGCGACACGAAATTCCATGTCTTTTGAACTAAATGGTAGGTAGGTACTGAAAATGCAGTACTGAAAGTAAATACTGGTCCCTAACGAAAGCAAAGCGACGATATGTAAGGCTTGGCAGCCTGAATCGACTAATGTCAATCAAAGGTGTTAGGAAACAGATGATAGTGCATTCAAAATTATGTGATTAAACAAGTAAGTTATAAAAGGGTAGAGATTGGCACTTGGAACGGACATTGTCAGGCACTCGCTAGTCGCTTGCCTAGGGCAAGGTGCATGTACTGTTCTGCGTAGTAAGTAGGGCTCGTGTTGAAACTAATCATGTAACCATAACTAATACTACATTTAGTATGTAGAATTATGTGTTGGCATTTGTATGGCCATTGGAAAGGTCAGAATTCAGGAACATGTACAAATCCAACCCAAAGCTCAGAAACGGCAATGCGTTAGATATCATGACTTGAAGTTGAATCTATAGATCTTGTAGTTTGCGAAATTTCTATTGCTTTGCTGGCGAATTTTAGGGAGGATGCGTTACCAATTATTCGTAATACTTTTTTTTGGAAAAATGGACATGTTTACACTGCACACTGCTTGAGCGATAGAGAAGTGTTCAAGAAACTATTTTAGTAGATAGCTACGGGCCATTGTAGCTTGTAGGTATATGTGCACCGAGCAAACTGCCTCATATCTATTGGTGGATACATATAGATCTAGTGGTAGACTATAGTGTGGTAGACTATACGCGTGCCATTCGCAACTCAAGTGACAGTGTATGCCGTTTGATATCGACGAAGCTCATCCCGCCACACAGTGATGATCTTCTTAGAGTTAAATAAATGCGTTTGGTGTGTATGAGGGTTGCGATGCGACAGAAGAAATGCAACTTAGTTCTGGGAACCGGATGCTTTTAGTCCATGATGGCACTGGTTTGCTAATAAGTCTGCCTTTTGCCCAGTGGCTGTAGGTACTTGTTCTTCTGATGCGAGTTCAGCTTACTTGTTCGTGCAGTGGTAAACCGCGGCTGGACAAATTTCATACTGAAATCGCTGGCTGAGCAGTGCAGGCTTGCACTCAGGAGAGCCAATAAATGTGTAACCTGCATTGTAGAAAATGGATGCTGTTTTCCTATCTGATCATTCAGAACCTACGACAGATCAAGGCCCCGACAGATTCTTGAAGGTGGAAGCGGAACAGGTTAAAGAGGGCAATGGGACTTATCTGACATTATAAACAGGGAAATGTCGAATGATCCAGTCATACAGCATCTAGCAAAGCGAACAGAAAAGAAAGAGATGCGAAAACCAACGACGGAAAAAAGCAGAGCCTTCAAACGACGCTTTCCTTAGCTTCAGGACCTGTCTATTCCTATCATTGACCACAAGCCTTGTCTCGCAGTCACTCCCCATACAACCGGTGGAGAGCATTTCCATAAGGAGTATATACCCCTCCCGCCGCGCCGGTTTCAGCGGCTGGGTGGCCCGTCCATCGGCCGAAACGCTCAACCAGCGCCGCGGTCCGAGCCCAAAGTCTCCTCAACCCCTATAGGCATATACACAATCATTTAGGAAATCGCTAGGTATTACCAACAGCTAATGCACAGCCAATGAAACAAATGGCCTCACGACAGAATGCTATAAATGCTGCGACCGAATACAAGGACGAAAACGTGGACCGAGCTGATTACACGGAAGCAACCGACGCCAGACAGCCTGGAATGTCCGTGACCGAATGAGGCCGGATACTGCGCGGGACCCCCGACTTCGCCTCTCCTGCACGTAGGCGAGGGGCGAAACCGGTGAAGCTCAGGTTTAAAGGTCACCGCTAGGTGTCCAGGCAAGGCCGCTCCAGCAAAGGTCACTGCCCAGCAGCGCCCCGAGGCAGTTGGCAGCACGCCAGAGCCCAGCTGCCGGGGAGTAGTTGAAAACCGTGAACACTAGATGAGTGGGATACTGTTCTTCTTATAATTGCCTAAGAGTTTCCTAGCTCTTTTTTCTATGGTGCGTTCAATGATGTCAGTCAAGTTCTTGCATGTGGTCTACAGCTTTAAAAAAGCCATTAAAAAATGTCTAAGCGTAACCTTCAACTTTGTCAATTTACTTGGCCATTTGGGTAAGTTTCCCAGGGACCGAGTTGAAGAGGAACGCGAACATATTCAACGCATCGGTGTACCTAACTACTAGGCCTATCATGTAATAATCAACGCCCCAGCTACGCAGGCGAAGGAACTATAACAATTAGCTCAGGTACTATGCGGTTCATTCGTCGTATCATTAAAATACCTATAGCAGCAAAGCTAATTATTACTTAGGGATCGGCATATTATTGGGCTAGCCAGACCAAAAACGGGTTCCAACGAAATAATACGAATATTGGTTTCGTGTGATTTATTATCAATGGACGGCAATGCACAAATCGAACAATATAATGCTGAGCGATCATAACGTCAAAACTCACTCGAACTCACACTCACAACTCACTCACCGGAGTGATGCACGTCTAATCTAGAATGCAAATGCAGGGCAGCTTCAAACGCAGCGGTGTAATGCACAAAGGTCCCACATAAGTCTTTGGGATATCGGCACAGACGGCAAGAACTGCACAAGAACGTCTGCCAGTCACAAACACGAGCGGTTGGTGAAGACCAGGCGCATGGCACCCAAAGTCAAGCAACAAAGCGGACAAGCACATGACCGATAAGTTATTTACACATGAGGCTGCTACTGTCGCCTGCAAGCGACGAACGCTCCAAAAAAGATACGGCACTGAAAGCCTCAGACACTTAGGAAGTAAGCGAGACATTTGAGAAAGAATATTCACAAAAGGAGCAATCCAACTAGGAGCAAAGATGAGTCAGTGTTCCTAGGGCCTGAAGAGCCCTTACAATGAGTGAAATACACAGAGGGCAAAAGTAAGGGGATATGACCGGATGCATTCGCCGTATTAGCAATCGTTGCTCTACTCGTGTCTAACAACACTAACAAGTTCAACAGCCTCAGAAGGCGCCAGCGGTTGTGAAAGCGGTGCTAAACACGAACATCTCACTCTTTGGTACACACGGAACGTAGGTGGAGCGCGCATGGAGTTGTGCGCCAGCGCCTGGTACAGGGGGCGTCCCTGTCGCACCCGGAGCGGCAATCGGCCAGCAAACGGGCCGGTGCACTCGTCTCTGAAGGCCTCTTGGAATGCATACTGGGAATGCCACATGTGCAGGCCCGAGGAACGAGGCGGACGGTGCCAAACAGAACAACATTGTACCCTAAAACGGAATGCAGCCTAGAGAAACAACGGCTCTCGCCGATTGCCCGATCTTTGCTCAGGGCGTGTTGGTCGCTGGTGGACCTCACAAAGCCACTTAGAGGAGAGCGCAGTGTGACCGCAAACGCACGAGATCAGAACGCAAACGACGCCTCTCCAGTGAAACGGAAACATCACTTCTGGTGCCGACATGACATCAAGCGCAAGCGTGGGACAAAACGACATACCCGATCGGCACATGAACACCTTCATGAATCAAATGTTGCATTGTCAGCCGAGAATAACAATGCACACAAGAAGCGGGCCGCACTGGTTAGCCCAGATGCAGCCATACACTAGTCAGGCTATTCGAACTCCAGTTACACAAATCCACCGAACGGGGCTAATAATACATCTCACAGGATTGCACTGCTGTCCTGGTAGTCGCTTTGTGACCAGGGACAGCAAAGGCGTTCCGAGATCATTGAAACATTTTCTTATTATGAATCCTAAGTCGAATCGAATCGGTTAAGTGGACACACCACACCAAAGTGAACAAATATCTGAAAAAGCAGACCACACAAGCCATTCGTCGATGCTTTTTTGAGCCGCTTGCCCAAGCGCGAGAGTAACACAGTTCGTTCGATGGTCAAAATACATCTTGTCCACAACCAGATGCCCTATTGTCTTAGCCATTGCATAGCAGCAGCTCGGGTTAGAGTGCAGCAAATCACCCACGCAGCTAGCACATTCCGAACAGTTTGCTGCCGATGCCGAGCGGCCGACCCCTCTAAGGGCACCTTCCCTGTCTTTGAGCAGCAGCGTGCCTGTCGTTTGCCAGTCGCCTTCACGCCTCACACTCCTGAGCCGCGGCCGATGCGCCCTCCCCATCACCTTCCGCCGACCTGCCGCAGTCGTCGGTTTCCATCACCGCGTCCGGCATCTCCTTGTCGTTGCTGACCTCCTCGGCCGGCGGGCTGCCGGCAGCGCGCAGCCGCGACCCTGCCAGCAGCCTGGCGCTGATGTCCTCCAGGGTGGGCCTCTTGCGGCCGGGGCACTGAGCACGCGCCGGCGGCGGAGGACTCGTCGAGCCCAGGTCGGCAGCGTGAGGGCCCTCGGCGTCTCCAGCGTCCTCCGACTGGTGCTCGGAGACCAGGTGCTGCCGCAGCTCTCCGGTGTCAGCGAAGCCATGCAGGCACACCAGGCAGAAAATCTGAGGGAGGAGGCGGGTTACGTCAGTCCTTGGTGAAATTATCAACATTTGCAGGCGGTAAACTTCGAGCATCTGACCGCAGCGAGATGACTTTGGTTCTTTGCGGTGGTGAGAAACGGTCGTGGCTGTTTTAAGCCACCTTCTGAGATGAGTGAAACGTAATCATTTGTGTTGTAAGATGATTAGCCATATTAAATACCGCAGGGATAAGCTTATAATTTCCTTGTTTGTGCGGTGAAGATCGACACATTCCTTGTACAGAAATATGCCCTGGTTGTACGAGGCCTCCCAAGCCGACTGAAATATGCACCAGCTGCAATTTTGCAAGAGTTGCTCGTTCATCTAGACATCGTCTACACATCAGGCTCCCGTCATCTGGCTGTCATCTTTCCGTCATCTCGTCATCTTAGATCGGCTGCGGGCGCGCGCGAGAGGACGCAAACCAGTTTCCGGCCGGCGTGCAGCCCTTCCTCCTACCGCACCGGCTGTTGACCCGACCTCACATTATGCACACGCCGTGGCGGGAGCGCGCACCGAGAGCGATCAAAAACAGGTCCTGCCACTGCTGGCGGGATGAGCGGCAGTCGGCGGACGCTGCGTCCGACCGATCCGCGCGCGACAGGCCGGATTACGTGCGGGGCGCGCCGGAGAGCAGCCGAACGCTGATCCCGGGAGACTGACCCGGCGCCGAGACCCGCTCACGGACCACCGGATCAAACTCAGCAGCGGCCGGACAGGAAGCTCGACCGCCGGGAATGCGCCGCTCCCGAGGTCACGACCCCGGCCGGAGCGCTGGGAGAATCGGCGCCGTGAATTCGCGAGGTGGCTGACCTGCTCGCAGGAAGTTTTTAGATAAATGTCGCCAGAGATGGCCAAAGATGATCTGAGAGCTTGTCCAGAACGGTAGGTGCTACCTGGGATGTAGCCCAACGAGAGATTTAAAAGTTCTGGCAACTGTTTTGACTTGTGAGCTTCGTGGAAGATAATGGTTAAAAAAAAGATCATTTTGACACTAATAAAATGGGATTTATGCACGACCTGAGAACATGATCAGCATTTTATCACATAGGTACCTATGTTTATTATATGACTATAGAGAAAGAACAAAAAGTGCTGAACAGGCAATATCTCGCTAGAATTGAACGTCAAATTTCACCAATACCAATTAATAATGATATGAACGGTATCATCTTCGTTTTGCTTCTGGTGGCGGAAAAGTCGGGGTTGCAGCGAAGTAAATCTACGATATCTACAATCAGTTATCTTTCGGATGGTTTTCTAATCGTAGCCCAAAGCGAGAGGTCAACAATCTGAAACCGACATTTCATTTGAACAAATTACTAGCATACAAGAGAACCGTTTCCCAAATACGCTCGGGTCTTATTTTAGGAGCCAATTTGAACGTTTGTGGCCAAGTGTGCTCTAAGTGCCGTCCATTTCCAGCTCTCCCATGTTTTCGGGTCACGGCGCCGACTACTTCCGTAACTTTTTAGCCAGTCCCAGCTGGCATCTGAGCCCGGCCAGAGACGGGCGGCTCGACCCCAGATCCACATTCCGATTTCTCGCCTCCAAAGCAGCTTCGCCGGCTTTGCTCTCACGCGATCGTCTGACACGGGCTGCTGCTCTCCGACCATCCCAGGCAGACAGCGTGGTCCAAATTATAGCTTTTTCCTAGACGTCTGCTCTGAGAGCCATGACTAAGACAGCCTAGAAAAATATAAATCTCTAGCAGGACAGATTGAAAAGATCAGAGAACGGACACTCCCTATCATCTCTAGTACCTATTTTCAGAATTGTGAATACAAAGCGTCAGACTGAGATTGCAGAGCTCAGATGGTGTAAATCGTGCATTAAGCTTCTGTGAAAATCCAGAATAATCTTTGGCTAAGTTTCATCATAAAGCTTCCCAGATTAGCAAATCACCATGATGAGAGAATGGGCTCTTCTTGAAGATAAAACACCAAAGACTCTGAGCCGTTCCAAGAAGTAATATTGTCATTTATATCGCGGTCCGCAAACGAACTGATGAATACTTTATTACGATGCGATTACGCTACGATTTCGTGGTTATTGTTTCTAAAATGAAACCAATGAACATTTATAAATGAATTTCAACATGAGCACAAAAGCCGGCTGTTTATGCGCGACTCACCTGGTCCTGGCCCTGGTCCTCCTCCGCGATCTGCGACACCCAGCGACTGTTGCTCCTCTCCAGCTGAGCCCAGCTCTGCTCATGCTCAGCCTCCAGGTGATCCCTCGCCCGCTCCAGGTCAAAGAACCGCCGGTCGCAGACGTGACACCAGAACTGGTGCGTGGAGGGCCCGGCGGCTCCCGGCACGTGCTTTTCGGCGTGGTGGCGCGACAGGTTCTCCTGCGTCGAGAACGTTGAGCTCGGGCAGAGCGTGCACTTGAAGGGCCGCTCCACGGGCCGCGGCGCGTTAGCCGAGTCGTCGCCGCTGCTGCCGCCGCTGTGTTTGCGCACCAGGTGTCGGTCACAGTTGGACTTTGTGGTGAAGTGGACCGGGCAGTGCGGGCAGCTGTACGGCTTCTCACCGCTGTGGGTCAGCTCGTGGCGCTTCAGCGAGCTGCTCCAGGGGAACACGCGGTCGCAGAAGCGACACGGGATCTTGTTCGGGGCGTTGGAGTAGGCGCTGCGCCGCTTCTCGGCACGATCCGAGTCCTCGTCGCCGACAGGGCTCGCCGAAGCGCCGCGTTCCGAACCGACCTCCGACGTGCGCTCCTCGTCCCGACGGAAGTACTGCTGACAGGTCTGCGCCTGCGCGCTGACCACCAGTCGGTCGACGCTGGCGAGGTCAGTCTCGTCGCGAGACGGCTCGTCGATCACCAGGCCGCCGTCGTCGTCGGATTCGACGCAGACGACGGTGGCCGCCGCGCCGCCAGAGGGACCGGGCTCGCTCGCCGAGGGGGGCTCGGCCGGAGACGCCATCGGGCTGACCGCGGTGGCCGAGCGGCGCACACCGCGCGCCTTCGGCTCCCACTTGTCCGGGTGGGTGTTCTTCACGTGCCGATCCATGTTGGTGCTGAGTGTGAAGCGAGCGTCGCAGTGCACGCACTGGTAGGGCCTCACGGTGCGGTAGCGGCGCTGCTTCTGCTTTTTGCGCGGATCGTCTAGCGCGCCGGGGGTGCTCGGGGCGCTGGATGTGCCGGTCAGGTTCAGCGCATTCTCATCCTCCGTGTCGCGGTCCTCCTCGGCCGCCGGTGCCGGTGGCACCTGACCCAGGGCGCCGACGCCGAACGCCGACTGAAGCGCAGCCTGCATCTGTGCCGCCGTGAGGATGCCGCCACCCGAGCTCAGCCCGGCGTTACGCGTCTGCGCCAGCATCTCTTCCATCTGCCTGTTCATCATCTGCATGCTTGGCATGAAGAACGGCATCGGGAACGGCATGCAGTACGGCATCTGCATGAGCGCAGCCGAGCGCAGCGCCTCCTCAGCGGGTGAGAGCTGCGGCAGCTCCGGCGCCGCCTGGGGTCTCTCCGACTTCCGGCTGAGGTCCAGCGGCGCTGAGTCGTCATCTTCGGCGGCCGGAGCAGGCGAGTCCACCGGCCTCTGCACGGAGTGCGGGGTGGACGAGCGCGACTGAGTCGACAGTGGACGCTCGGGCAGGCTGACCGGCAGCGGCAGCAGCGGCGGCAGCGACAGTGGTAGCGGAGGCCGCTGGGTGGGCTCTCCGGGACTGGGCACGGCGCTGCGGGCTGCGCCGCGGGCGTTCAGCACCAGCGCTGGGTCTTTGGTCGGGTGGAACTTCTTGACGTGCTGCACGGCCGGCGTGTACTCACCGAAGCTGGCGTCGCACACGGTGCAGACGGTCAGGTCAGTGCCGAGAGGCAGGATCGCCCTCTGCATCGGCGGCGGCGTAGACCTCGTCTTGGGACGGGTGTCACTGGGCAGCACGTTCATGTTGTCAGCGAGCTCCTCCCGCGTCAGCTTGTGGCGGTTCTTCATGTGCCTCTCGCAGTTGGCCTTTGTTGTGAAGGCAAAGTTGCAGCGACGGCACTCATACGGTCGCTCTCCTGTGTGGATTTTCATGTGCCTTCCCAGCGCCGCCTTGTCAGGGTAGAACAGCGTACACACATTGCAGTGGTACGGCGGCTTCTTCTCGAAGTGGTCTCTCACGTGCCCCTTCATGCCACGTAGGTTCCTGAAGATCTGATTACACAGCCGACAGGGGAACTCTCCCTTGGCTTTCATCAGACGAATTGCATCTGCCATCGGGTCCTCGTCGTCATCCAGAGTCACGTACTCTTCGGCGGTGCGCACACGAGGCGAGCTCTGCTTCACCGGCGGGCTGACCGAGGCGCGGTCGGCTCGGGTCGGCGAGGAACGGCGCGGCGGCGGCAGTGGCTGCGGAACCACCATGCCGTTCGGGTAGCGAATGCCGCGCAGGGGCTCGCTGAGAACATCATTGACCTCGCGCCTGTGACCGATGGACCCATCTGGGGACGGTGAGCCGAGCTCTCTCGCTGACATCCTGTCGTCGCCGCGCTGCTCCAGGGACTCGCGCACCCGGAGGAGGCTGGCGGTGGCGCCGACTGACGTCCAGTTGGGCACAGCCAGGGCGGGGACGGAGCCGACAGCACGACGCTTGGTCTCCGGGGACGCAGCATCACCATCAGCGCCGACCGAGGAGGGCCTCTTGGGGCGGGCTGGGGGGACGACGGCGTCACGGTCCGGGCCCTGCGGGTGGGGGAGATGGGTGTCAGCGAAAGGTCTAGACCAGAGGGAGATACGGCCGGTTGACAATTTACTGCAAAAAAGGATATATTCCTCAGAAAGTTACGAGAGTTTCACCGACTCTGAGACATTATACCCATCAAGAACAGTACATGGAATTAATTAAGCGAAGGCATGAAATAAACGCATATTAGCTCTAAATAACATACAAAAGCAGAGCATAAGCCAGCGACCATTTAGTTCGACGCATAGCAACAACGAACTCTGGTAGCAAATTAATCGGTGTGACATTTAACCCGCGCCGTGCTGGGGGGGGGCGTTTTTACGCCCCCCCTCAGGTTTTTCGCGAATATCTCAAAAACGGCGGCGCGCAGCGCCGCCGTTTTTGGTACACGTGTTCCTACATCATTTCCGCACATGTTGTGAAAATTTCAGACCTAGGCCGTTCAAGGTCAGGTCACCAGGTCACGTCAAGTGACCTTACCTCAGAAAAAGTTCAAAGGCTCGCTATAGCTACACCGACTGAACGATCACTTTGAAACTTTCAGCGATTGATATGAGTAACAGTATGTATAAAATGTATATCTCGGATTTTTGATATCTGTGACCTAAGGTCAGGTCAATTTTGCGACCTCTCCATTATAAGTCAATGGGAGAAAATTGAAATGCGCCTCTTTTGGACGAATATCGTTCAAAACGCTCTCAAACATCGGTTCATAGGTAAACATGACACACTGAATAGGAAAAATGCACCTGTGACCCCTCTGTGTGCCCCTGAGGTCATCTCAGGTCATGAACGGTCGCCAGCAGTTTTTTGGCTATAACTTTTGATAGAGACGTGCTAGAGCGGTGAAAACACGTCAGATGTGTTCAGCTCGACGATACGGATCGACTGATATGCAACATGACCCTTTTCGGTCAGGTCATGACCTTGACCTGAGGTCAAATTTTCAAAATGACCTTTCAAGGTCAACAAATAATTCATTCGACGCGTCTCGACGAGAGGAACACGATGCTGGCAAAAGTAATGTCATGGCGCTTATGAGTCAAAAGTTATTGACGAAAAAACGTTTTTCGTAAAAACGGCTATTTTTGGAGTTTTTGCCCTCTGGAGGCTAAACCGTTGACCTGAGGTCAAATCTGAGAACATTGCTCAGAAAGGTCTGTAAAAGGGCTATCGAATGCGCTTTTCCGCGGCGCTGTAGCTCTATCGGTTCCCGAGATAGCCGTTGGCAGTTTCCAAAATGTTGAAATAGTCAACATTTTACCTTTGGTGACCTCTGGTGACCTGACCTTTGACCTGACCCAAAAAATGACCGAAGTGTTTTCGTCCTTATTTTTGACGCTCTTTCGATTGCCGCTTACCGCGTGTCGCTACGTGGCCCAGGAGCCGAGTTAGACGGGGGGGGGGCGTGAAAACGCCCCCCCCCCCCAGCACTCGGCGGAAAGTTCAGGCCACCAGCACGGCGCGGGTTAAGAAAATAACAATCACCTTACTCTTGCAACTATTACAAACGACCGCTAGCGTATTTCCGTCTGGGGGTGCATTCACGGTGCCGAAAACGTGGCCCAGCCGCCGTGATAACGCCTGTGGTCCAGACAGGAACCGTGCGGGCCCCATGGCTACATCTCGTGCGTCACGTGCACGATCGCGATGACAATCTCCCTAGCGAGTGGATAGCCGGGCCGGCTAACCGGCACGGGACAATGACCAGCGTCCGGCACGAGAAACCCTGCAAAGTGACAAAGAACGGAAGCAGGGCACGCGGCAACAATGTCTCTGCAGATCGGCGCAGATAGGATACCGAGTCCAGGCCCAGAAACGACCCGAGCGGAGCGGAGACAATGCAACAATAGTCGCCCGGCGACACGCCCTCCTCCAGAGCAGGGCGGCCCGCGTCCGGCGACAACCGGTCACATCTCCGGCCAGATCGAGAGACGCTCGCCAAAGTTTCAACATCAGCGCCGAAAGAGAGCAGCGCCAGTTTGTCAGATCGTTTCACCGCCGGCGACAGGTCGCGGTTGGCGGTCAGCCGGGACAGCCGACTTCCGCCACCGCCACCGGTGACATTTCTCCTCTGTTGACCATCCCGCAGACTGCAGGCTTCTCTGCAGCCATATCTGTCACCGTTCTCACGTGTAACGCTCAGTTCCCATGAGGTCAGGCCGTCTGACGTACGCCAGATACCCGGAAGAGTGGCGCAGACCGGTCAATTACCTGGGCGGGGATCCAGCGCTGATCCCTCTCAGCCGAGCTCGGGCTGTTGTCACAGCGACGAAAACAAACCCCGAGAGCGGCGATTAGGGCCACCGAAACTCATCCGTCTCTCACGTCGCAAGCCACCGGTCTCTGCGCGACTGGATCCGCCTGTTCCTCGCGACAGGATCCACCAGTATCCGCAGCAAGGGATCCAATACTTCAGTAAACTGTTTTTTCGAATCTGCTCTATAACAACCATTCGCTACCTCCATTGGCTTTGATAAACTAATCACACCCCGAATGACAGCACAACAAAAAGCACGACGCCAAATACGGAGCCCCGTGACGCACCTGGATGTTGAGCAGAGTCCTGCGAGCGTCCTGCTGTAGGCTGGCCAGCGTGGCGGGATCCACTTGTCTCCCAGCCGCCTGCACCTGAGCCAGGATAGAGCTGGTATACTCTGCGAACAAGAGAAACCAAAGTCGGTCAGTCAGCCGTCCGGCCGCAGAGAGGAGCGATAAAAACACATCCGAGGGCGTGGGAGGCGCACGGCTACCAACAGACGCGCCTCGCACCCGGCGTCGCTTCTGTGTGAAAGTAGGGGAGAGAATGTGGCCAGCAGATACACAGCGGGTGGTGGGAGATATGGATAACGCAGCCGACGCGGAGATATGAGACGCAGCCGACGGATGGGGACGCGCCGACAGAAGTGCGTGCCTACGTGATTTCTGTCAAATGCGCTCTTTGATGGACCAAAGGGGCGGCAATACATAGCGTCTGCTTTTTCTGTAGTTAATGCTTACTTTTATATTTCGTTTTCCCAAAGCTGGCGGACGTTGAAAATAGGTGCTTACATTTTTCTTCTAAATTTACGCATACCGTTTAGCAATGACTACCCCGATCCCGTCATTTTCACCAAACGAATATGATCGGCCTCTGACCAACACTACCTATACTATTGCAAAATCGCTTTTTATCGCCAAGTGCAGCTTAAAAAAGAGTTACGTCTCGCGCAATATGATCCCGTAATCCTCTGTAGAATGTTCGATATGCATCCCTCGCCAAAGTCACGCAACGATTCATCCCAAGCATTCTTTGCTTGGTGCAGCGGAAGTGAAACCAGTTCTTTATTTTGTAACAAGTGGCTTGTCGAAGCTGTTTCAAAGGCACCAATCAAATTAAACGGTGGCCATGTGGCTTGAAAAGCCGGACGCGCGGTTATGGAAAGTTATGCCGTTTAAAGTTTATCTGATGAAAATAGCGAAACCGACTGTTTCACCCGGAAACGTGAAGTTTAATTAAGTCCTACATTCCATTGAAATATATTTTCGAAAAGGGTACTTAACTTTGTGACAAATAGTCACCTAATCCTAGTTTGCTGTGTATTTCCGGCACATACGAAAGGTCAATAAATGGATGCAAAATTCGCAGTGAAAACTTGTACTTTAAAATACGTTTAAGTGATAAAAATACGACACCGGGGTCGGGAAGCCATCCAAGAAAACGGATAAGACTGTTTGCATTATTGTATATGAACAATGATGCAGTCTAGCTTAGACTGAATTTTGTTTTAGGGTTTGTTTTCTAGGAAATATCAAGAGCAAAACCCATTCATCCATAATGATCCAAATTAAGTCAACGAACGTTTAAACCCAGAAACAGACACACACCCGCACACAAACGTCACCACCCTCATAACCGTCTCGTCACGGTGACACGACATCCCCAGAAGCGCTGCTAACCCAGCGCCGTCAGACTGGGGCGTCACGTCGTTTGGCGGGCGCGTCACAAGCCGTGACGGGTCGTCACGGGCCGGACATGGGTCAGCCGCGCATACACGTCGGGAGCGACTGAGTCATCTGACCTCTGCTGTCGCGCCGGGATGAAGGAGCCGCCACCACGGGCACCTGTTACTGTCATCGAAAGGGCGCCGACTACCGACGACCGTTGTCCACTGTCCACTGTTAACTGTCCACTGTCCTACTGTCCACTGTCTACCGTCTACCGTCCACTGTCCATCGTCCACTGGTTACTGTTTACTGTCCACTGTCTACCGTCCACTGTCCACCGTCCACTGTCCACTGATTACTGTCCACTGTCTACCGTCCACCGTTCACCGTTCGCCTCTCACTCTCCATGTACAAAGGCACATGACACGGTTGATACCAAACGTCTATATCCGCTTTAATCGAAGGGTGGTAAGGGGAAAAGAAATCTGTGAAAATTGCGTTCACCCTGCAGGGCCTGCACATTCTTTTTGAGTGATCAAATTTTAGAGCTCGTGCTGTATGTGTGTAGGAGGGGAGGCACCGAGAGGCAGTGGCTCCCTCGTTTCTGGGAAGGGCGGCCGGTCGCACGATCGGGTCAGGTTGATCACAGCGATGGGAGTGATTTGGTGGGGATGGGTGAGGGACGGGGGTGTGATTCACAGTCCGACGCCCGGCATTAGCAGGACAACGGCGATCCCGCTATGTTTAGCGTCATATCACAGACAAATCCAAAACTTCATACTTCCTAAACATCTCCAATATCCATCCTTCCACGCATACATTAGTTACTGCTGAAGCTTTAGGCGTAATTTAACGGCAAAAGCTTTTCTTACCGAATTTAACCACATTCAAGCTATCGAAGTCAACAAGATTTGCACTCTGCACTCTGCAGTGTGCAGTGTGCACACATTATAATATTCGGACACTCGAACGGGGCCTCGCCAGCCATGGGTACCGCACGCGGTGAAGTCCCCTTTCAGCTGAAGTGGGCCCAGAGGTCACATTCCGTGTCACTGTGGGGCCTCTAACATCACACGCTCAGAGATGAGCCCTTAAAAATTTGCCTTCTTCTCCATTTCATGCAAATTCGGGATCGATGATGGAATAAATCGATGATGCATGTTCTATTGTCAGTTCATATAATACAGTCATATCATAACATGGTCATAGTTTCATTTGAACGCACTTAGCCATTCCCACCGGGTCCTTAGTTTACACACCACTTGAGGGGCGCACGATATGCTCTCATGTTCATTTCAAAGTACTCCGGGACGCCTCTCATGGCACTCGCTGGCGTGTTGATCCGTTTATCTTGCAGAGCCTGGGGGAACCACCCAGCGAGAGTAGGCAAACAGATCGTGATCTCAAACCACCCACCTAGATTGTAAAATGTAAGTGTCGAATCCTCTGTCTGCACGATGTCTCTGCAATGTCAATGACCACTGCAATCGGAAGAGGCCCGATGCACAAATCTCAACAGTCCCACTAGCCCGAAAAGATTGCTTTTATACCGGGTGACGCTATGGGCTATGGCTGAAGCTCGCATCATGCTTCTGCGCCGTTTTCAGCGTTCGAGCAGACATCCTATCATCAGACATATCATGATGGCGTGTTGGGCGACGGAGACGGACGCTTTTCCGAGCGCCTCGCCTAGCTTTGTCATCACCCGGCTCGCCACAGAAATGTGGGCACTGGAGATGATTCAGAAAGGCTGCGCCGTGCCCCGCTTCGTCCGACGGGAGAGACTTCGACCCGGTCACAACCCAAGCCAGATGACCGTTGAATTATTCATAGTTACCGAATGTCATTGACATCTGCAGCATGAGAATGAGGCTGCTATCAAGCACGCGTAAACATATGCAGTTGCATGCATCTCTCCTTTGGTGTTGGTTCTGAACATTATTGCGGAAGGACAGGGCGTATTCCGTGGTCATTCGTGGTTATTGTTCGTCTCATGGAAAAGAAATGTTTCGTGAAAGGGAACATCACCAGAATGCGTTTACAACCGAAAGCAAGGAAAAGAGGACGACCCGAGGAGTCAGTCTACGAGGAGTCTACATTAAAGTTACCTTTAGGTAATGCGAAGGCTTACAATAGCTTTGATGGTGGCTGTTTCAAACTTTGAAGTACTATGCCTACATGAACGACGCTCCATATCCATTGAAATCAGACCGACTGAAACAAAATTTCGGTACGTCGAATACATACTACGATAAAATGCGCAACATAAACACAACAAATAGCCTGCATTGCTCACAAGAATTGTACGTCTTCCCACATTGTTGGCAACCGACAAATAGATAAAAAAACACGCACACAATAAACAGAGCATCCGGTCGACACCCCGATAAACCACCACACCTCCGTGTCACTAAAGTCCTCGGCCGCGGGGCGACCCGAGCTGAACCCACCTGCAATCAAATCCTCCATGGTCCTCAGTTCCGGAGCCCTACCGCCGGTAGAACTCGGCATTTCTATCGTCATACTCCGAGCGGCTTCAGCGCTAACCACTCAGTCTACACGCGTGTCATGCAGTCTGTCCGTCGCACCCCCGCACTACCCGACAAGCCGTCAGCGACTGAGTGAAGCGTGGTCGCCCGCCGCCTCGGCCGGCCGGCCCACACGGGCGCTGTGACGTCACACGCGCTGCCCCACCTGGCGGCGATACTGCACCGCAGGGCTCGGGCGGAGGGTGGAGCGTGCGCCTCCGGGCCGCGGGGTACGCCGGGTCACAGAATCGCTTCCTTCTCCACCGCCTCCGGGCGCCGCTGCGACAACAAAGTGGCCGGAAGCGTGTCTGCAGTGATCACCGCTGCTGGCCGGACTAGCTCCGTCGATTACTCGCCTCTAATTGTCCCCGAGGGCGCGGAAGGAGACGATAGTCGCGCGGCGACGGTCTGCGCGACAAGGGGCAGCGCGCGAGCGTCGCCCTCGCGTCGCCCAGGCGGCCGGTTGCAAAAAGATCATTAGGGTGGCGTTTTCACGGGTGGTGCCGCGCTCAGCCGCGTCAATGGCCGTGACTTCCTCTCGCCGAGATTCGGGAAAACACGCGCGTGAACAGCAAGGTCACGGCGTGATGTCACGCTCGTGACAGCCGTCTTCGGAGAGGGAGGGGGAGCTCGTGCTGTGATGGCCGCCTCGCCGGCACCATCCTCACTCGTGCCTGATTGGCGGGCGGTGAGCGCCGCAGGCCATTGGAGAGGAAGTGCCCACTGCCCAACCCACTGCACCACACCCAGCCAGACCTACCTTTGCGGAGAATTAGAGAAAAACATTTTTTTATTTTGCCCTGCTGCTTCTTCCTTTTACCACACTGCTCACATTTCATTATGCTTCTTATACCTAATGCCCATATATGCGTGTGGAAAACACTAGTCAAAGTTAGTGCATGCTGGTGATTGTTTCATATGAAAAGTAAAAATATGCCAGAAATCCTTCAGTATTGTCAAAAAGGCTACCGTTGCACATTAAAAATATGGCATGGAATATAGTGCAATAAAACTTCGAAATGACTTCTTAATAAATACATAAACAAATTAACAAATTAAATAAATGAGATGAAGGTAACTACAGCATTTCTTGCACCATCTCAGCCACTCTATTCGCAAATCGCAGATGAATCCCCCTGATGATCTCATGCCCAGCATCCTCTCTTGCCGGGCTACGTGGCCGGATGTATGACCAGCTCAAT